CTCAACAGATTGAATTGCCCTAAACAATTAGGACTATTTGCAAATTGGATAATTAGATTGTCCTAAATGTTTTAGACTGCATTCATAAATTTATCATACCTGCTTCTCAGAAGGTCTTCAGATGTCTGGCAGGGCAGACAGTGACTGAGCAAGCAGTCTTTTTAAGCATGAATTCTTGCAAATCGAATAAGTTGACTCACAAATGTCAAATTATTATCTTAAATATATTGATTCTTTTTGTAATCTTAATAGTTTTTTAATCTTTCATCTTAAAAATCTCAAGTCAAAAACCGATACTTACAAAAATGACATCATAATTATTTGATAATATCCTCTAATATGCCATGTATTCTTTTCCCCGTTTTTTTTAGTTGCACATGGATACAATACCTTTATTTATTTATTTATTTTCATTTGGTGCTGAAGATCAAACCCAGTGCCTCGTATGTGCAAGTGCTCCACCACTGAGCCACAGCCCCAGCTCCCCACCATGTTCTTTTAAGAGATAGAAATGCACAGAGATCAACCCAGTGATCACAGTTGTTATCTAAAACTTAAATATTCATATTTTAATTTATTTCGCCATTGCAAAACTCTTCCCAAGGTTTCAGATTATATGTTTCCACTAAGGAAACATTCAGATTCCAGAATGACTGTTCTAGAGTCCTGGTAGAATCCCCTGATTCTTTCTGCTGGGTCATTGGGGTTCCCCCGGGCCTCTTCCCTGGAATTTCAGTTCACCACAAAGTAAACACACAGCCTCTGGGTTTCTTACCTCTTTCAACATCTATTACCTATCAACCAATTTGGACCTATGGACTCTTGTACGTCACCCCTGGTTATATCTGATGCCCTTTACTGCCTGATTGGTTCAGTGATGTCCTTCCTACTTGAATGATTTCTGCATGGTTTCCACATTTTTCCTCTCAGCTATATATCTCGAGTTATTTCACAAACAAATATCAATTACCCATTAGGAAGCCTGAGTATACCAAATGACAAACCTCAGCCAGCTAGTTTTGAGTAAAAGAAGAGAATTTATTACTTCCAACATTTGGGCCTTCTAGGAATGCTTCAGGTGTGGCTGGAGTTGAAGCCATGTCAAAGGGATACTTTTATCCCTCTCAGCTCTGCATCCCTCCCCTTTGTGCCAGCTTCTTCTTAAGCAGGTAAAAATGAAGCAGCCACTGGCAGCTCAGGGTTTCATGTACATTTTTGCATTTTTCATTCTCCTTAGCATCTCTCCTGTGGTCCTGTAAATTTGGGAAGCACTACCTTAAGCAGAGCTACAGAGCTCATTACTGGACTTCATAGCTGCCAAGATGTCACGTACCCTCTGAATGTCAAAGAGAGTATGGAAGAGGCAGCAGCACACTGCCCTCCATCCCTGCTCTGGCAACTCCTAAGACTAATTTTCCTTAGAACTTTCAGGACTCATTGACCTAATCTGGGTGGCTCCTGACCATGTGTACTTTGGATTTGGAGGGAAGCTCCAGAGGTAAAGGAGCCATTGCTGGTTTTCCAAGTGCGGGGACAAGGCTTGGGTTCTAACACACTGACAGCTCTGGGGAATGTCAGGCCACCGTTGCTGGTCATGGGCTTCTCCAGGCCCCTCGTCCTTATCTTGAGTTTCCCCCTCCCTCTGTCCCGTGGAGTCCATCACTGCCTTTCCCTCTGCGGGGCCAGCCCGGTCACAGGGATGCCCTGTAACTCAGGATTCACCTTCCAACGTTCCAGGCACTGATGTGGGAAGGATGTGTGTGCGCCAAGTGCCACATGCCCCTCTGGAATAGGATATCAGTGTTGAAAGGCCACAGTGGGGGGAGGAACGGGTACAATTTCAAAGCACAAAATCTGGGACTGGGATTCATGGGCATCTGTTACTGACTTCCCTCCCTCCTCCCCACCAGCCACGCTCCTCTCCTATCAGTCCCCCTTTCTTCTTTATCAGACTATAAGACGTTTTAGATACACTAAATTCCTAACCCAAAAGAGCAGAAGTAATAAAAGACTCATGGGATTTTCTTTTAATCGTGAGAGGAAATTCGAGTCCATTTCCATATGTGACGCTTTTCTCAGCAGAGCCTCATGTGGTCACCAGGCTAGGTGAAACTGAGGCACAGAAGTTGTGACCTGTCAAAGAATTATGTGGGAAGGCAGCTGGGCTCCTAACCCACAGCCGGGGGCGAGTTGGCAACAGAAACTCTCCCTGAGCCTGGGCCACACATGAGCTCGGGAGATGTTCAGTCAGCACTCGAACGCCTCTGGAGGTGGAGAGGACGCTTCCCCCAAGTGAGCTTGACATTGCTGCAGCGCCTTCCTGACTCTTCTCACAGCCTCAGTCTCCTCATCCTTTACAAGGGTGGTAGGCACCTGCCAGCGTGACTATGAGGGGTGGTGCGTAGTTGGCCTGTGCTCCGCCGGTGACTGCTGTCATAGTGAAAGGCCGAAGGATACAGACTAGAAGGAACACGTGTTCTGAAACCGGGCAGTTTTGCCCTTTCAGGCGTTCCAACCTGGACTGCGTGCCAGTGATCAGCACCCTTGGTCCTTCAGCCTTGATTTCTTCATTTGTGAAATGGGCAGCATAACACCTACCTTGCAGGCGTGATGGAAGAACTGGAGAAACATAAGAAAGTGTGTGAACCTCCTGGCAGGATGCCTGACGCAGAGTAAGGGCTTCCTAGTTATCCCGGGGCTCCTGAGCCCTGTGCATATTGGGAAGGTAGAACAAATCTTCCTTTAACAGGGAAGCCCTGGGCTGGGGATGTGGCTCAGCACCACATACAAACAACGATGTTGTGTCCGCTGAAAACTAACTAACTAACTAAATAAATAAATAACAAACAGGGAAGCCCTCAGAGCTCAGGGAAGCTAATGCTAACGGGAGGGACCCTTTAGGAACTCAGAAGGCCCCAGGGGGAGAATCTGAACCAGCATGGAAAGCCGGGCAAAAGAAGCAGAATTACCTGATGGAAGTTTGTGGGACCCTGGGGCCCTTGCAGATTCGCCTTCACATGTAACTCCGCTCCCTTCGAGCCCTCCCCCTCCCCGCCTCATCCTGCCACTTGGGAATCACCTTCATGCCTTTCTTCTGCATCTTTCTGTGGAATCCTCCAGATTGGCTCTTAGAAGCTAAATGAGAATGTCCAAGAGAAAGGTGGTGAAAGCAGTTTTCACCAAGCCGGGCAGAGCTCAGGATGTGGAAGCAGGCATCTTAGAAGCTGGTAGGATGGACTAAGTTTCGTGCCTGTGTTTGTAGACAGTGCCCTGGCTTTCAAAAACCTCAGCTGCCCAGCATTTCCCTGGCTTCATGCAGCCCCTTTGCCTGACCTTCAGCAAGACTCGCTGTGGAAGGCCGAGAGATAGAATAACGTGGCTAAGTCATTGTTTTGCCATCAGACCTGCCATTCCTGGCGTGTGGCCTTGGACCAGTGTTCCTGGCCTCCCAAGTATCAGCTTCCTCCTGGGGAAGGGCGCCAAGTCATGATGGTATGTACCGAGGATTGACATAGTGGAAAGTGTCTGGCGTCACAGTAAGGAGACTGGCTCAGGAGTCTGAATGGCTGGATCCCCAGGGCTCCTGCTGGCTAGCTGTCTGACCTTGTGCAGGGTGTCTTGCTTTTCTAAGTCAGTTTCTCCACCAGTAAAATAGAAAAATAATAATACCTATCTCTTGCCACTGGATCAACTAGAGCAGTGTCATATTGATGTCAGAAGCTCACTCCTATGAGTTTCAGTCAGCAACTATTTATTGGGCACCTGCTGTATACCTGCCACTTCACAAATAAGAAAATACAACTGAGTGGGATGGTGGACTTGATGAGTAACAGCATGTGTCTCTGAGGAAGTAGCACTTCAGCTGGGATCTAAAAGAAAGGTAGAAAGGGAACAGTGTCCAGGAAATGGGACAACCAATGCAAAGCCCTGAAGAAAAGAACAGCCTTGACTTAGAAGGGACAAACACTCCTATGATCAGAGCCCTTGAGTGCACACTGGAGAGGGGGCGGAGAGACAAAAAGACGAGAGAAGGCCAAGGCAGGGGGCCTTGAGGCCATTGTAGGAGTTTGGACATTAGGTACCTGAGAGGCAGTTCTGGGATCTGATTGACGCTCCAGAAGGCCACTCTGGTTGCCAGACAGAGAATGGATTGTGAGGAAGCAGAAGTAGAACACAGGCCCAACGGCCTGTTTTCAGTAACCTAAGCAGAGCTGACAGCACTCTAGACTGCAAGGCGACGGTACAGAGAGCTGCATGCATTTGGATGTATTTTACAAAGAGAGGTGACAGGATCTGATGCTAGGTTAAATGTGCTGATGGTATTGGGTGATGGGGAGACAATAAGAAGGGGAAAAAAAGAGTCAAGAATCATTCCTAGATTAGACTTGAGCAGCTGGGGGATGATTTGAGGGTCAGGAAATGAAAAACTCTACTTTAGACATATTCTGGGACACTGTTAAAATCACAACTTATAAGAGAATGGACAGGTTTCGGTTGAGAATTGCCACTTTCCTTCCTTGGCATTTTGTTCCAGGAGTGGAGTACAGAAAATTCACATGGCAGCGTCTCTGCCCGCTCTAACCTCTGGGGAGAGGGGCGCATGATGGGTCTTTGCCTGCACATTTGCAGCTTTAGTCCCTAAATGCGCTGCTTCTACTCTGCCACTAGGCCTGGGGGAGAGCAGTTGACTCGTATGAAGTTCCTGAGGTGAAGGGGAGGGGAGGGCGGGGTGGAACATGGGCAGCATCCTTGGTCTCCTCTCCTCATGGAAGCACCCACACTTTGGGGCAGGTATGTATCAGCCAGCTCACCCAGGTGTCAATTCAAAAGCAAAGGATGGAAGGTACCTTTGGAGATGAGTCACATCCGAGGCAAAAGAGCTTAGTCTGAGACATTGTGACATAGTCTGGGCCTCTTCCCGGATGGTGAACATTGGTCTGCTCCAGCCTGGGCGGGAGCAGTGTGAGGCTTTGGTGCTCAGGTTGTCTTTATCTTGGCAGCTGGGATGACAGCAGCTCCGTCAGCAGTGGCATCAGCGACACCATAGACAACCTCAGCACCGATGATATCAACACCAGCTCCTCCATCAGCTCCTATGCCAACACACCAGCCTCCTCTCGGAAAAACCTGGATGTGCAGGTAAGGAGTGTGGTGCCCTCCCGGGCTCCTCCACTGGCCCCTGCAACCAGGAGGCTTGGGTGTGTGGGCTGAGAAGCCCATTTGGGGAAAGCAGAATCCCCAGGTTGGTGAGATGCGGCTCAGCCTCTGGCTCCCTGTGCGCTCATTTCCCCAACTCTGGCCTCCACCTGTAAGGAAAGGACGAGGCAATGGGGCCGTGGAAACTGGGTCGGAGGCCTCACCACTCCCTGTGACCTTGGGAGATCACATTTACTCCCTTGACATTCTATTTATAAAAACAAACAAAATGATGTTGGGCTCTGTTGGCAGATCTTAGCCTGTCCCCTCTTTGCCCAAAGGAGCAACTGCTGTCCACAGGTGTCCCATCTCTCAGGAGTGATGTGGGCAGAAACACATACTGAGGACCCTGGGCCTCAGTATGTTCTGGGCTGAGGTTGGGAACACGTCATCTGTGGTTCATGTCCCCTGCTCATGTCCTTCATTTGGCCTACAGTATTGTTATTCTTTTAGACAAGACTCCACATCAAGTTATTTTAAACTGCAGTTGTTAAACATGAAAGTATGTCTCAGGTTCCTCTTAAAGAACTAGAAGCTAGCTGGGCGCGATGGCACACACTTGTAATCCCAGCAGCTCATGAAGCTAAGTCAGGGGGATCGTGAGTTCAAAGCCAGTCTTAGAAAAAGTGAAGCACTAAATAACTTGGTGAGACCAGCCTCTAAATAAAATATAAAATAGGGCTGAGGATGTGGCTCAGTGGTTGAGCACCCCTGTGTACACTCCCCAACAAAAAAAAAAAAAAAAAAAGAAGAAGGTATTGTTCCTTGTGGCAACAATTAACAGATGTCCAAGTGTCTGTCCCCACTCTTTTAACTAATGCTACAGCTGCCACCAACCAGCTGCACAAATTTAACATGCCCTCCTGCCCCTGAGGCAACCCCTACTTGAAACGCCCAGGTGTTTTTCAAATGGAGTGCCAATTCACATGGCACTTCATGGGCCCGATGGCATCCTTGGCATCCTTGTCGTGGCTGGTTCCAGTGAGCCTATTTACTAGTTGGGAAAATTAAGTGCTGTCTTCCCGGCTTGTCCCCAAGTTGGGGCTGACCAGTATGAGGACTGTTCGGCCATGGGTCATAGGTGAAGCTCTTTGAAAAAAGCATCTTCAGTAGTGGGAGCTTCTGTGTTGGGTGAACCCTGGGGAAGTCTGATTGGGACAGGCTCCCTGAGGGACCCCATCCCTCATCCTCCACTCCCCTCCTTCCCCATCTTCCTTTCTCGGCTGCTTTTTACTCAGTACAGATAGAGGCTGCATCTTTTTGCTTTCAAAGGTATCTCCTCTTTGTGGGTAGGTGTAGTGAAAGAACATATCAGTGCAGGGGGTGATTCTGGCCTCCAGAGACAGATGCTAACTGCATAATGAAATGTATTAGGTGCTGCTTTTAGAATTGCCTGTTACTCTTGTGTTGTCACTTTAGCAACTTCTAGGAGAGAGCAATGGTAGGCTATGGTGGTTGTATTTTTTAAAATTACTACCCAGAGGATGAAATGGGGGCATGGGGTTTTGTCGGGTGCTGGAGTTGTTCTGTATCCTGATCTGAGTGGTAGTTATATAAGTATGTTGTATGTGAATTTTATAAAACTTATTCAGGTGATCTACTTAAGATTGTGTGCTTCACCAAAAATCCATTTAAAAACATCAGACCAATAGAAATCTCAGGAACTTTTGGTACATTCTGTATGTCTACCACTTCAAGACCTATTTTTCCTTTATTTGTTTGTTTGTTTAATTAGCTACACATGACATTACAGTGATCTTGGCAATTCATACATTTCTGGTTTTATTTTAATGTTTTAAATTCAGGCAGATTAATCAGAAAGAACTACCCAATGAATAGTAAACCTCTTACATCTCTTAAAACAACTCCTGATCTGAATCAATGGACAGGTTTCTGTATGCTTACTATTCACTGGGCAGTTCTTTCCAATAAATCTATCTGAATTTAAAATATTAGAATAAAAACGGACAAAGTTGGTCTTAGGGTGACAGAAATGCAGACTGCACCAGTCGTCCTGAGATTTCTATTGCCATGGTGTCTTTAAATGGATTTTTAGTGACATTCCCTTTGTTCCTGTCCAGGGAGCATCTCAAAATATTTGAATCAGCATAATATGCAGCCTCCCATCCTCCTCCCTCACACCACTCTGAGGAATGCTAAGGGCCATTACTCCTCTCTGAGCAGCATCAAGCTGCAGGAAGATGTGTGTGTACCCTTCCCACAGCCGCTCCTGGGCCGTGCGTGGCTCATTGGGGTTCCAGTTACATGCTGGTGTACCCCAGGTGCGTGGGCAGCACCCAAGCCCCAAGCAAGTCCTGGGGTGGCTCCACTGTGTCCACTGGGAAAACAAGTAGAGGACAGACTGCCTGCCTGGCTTTCACGTCTGAGGAACAGGGATGCTGTTGTCTGAAAGACATGAGGAGCAGCCTCAGGTAGTGATGGGCAGAGGGGGAGGAGAATGAGAGTGATCCCTGGGAATGGAGGTTCTCTTTGTCTTTGAGGGACTCTGTTCCCTCAGGGACATTGAGGAGCACTGAGGGTGCCCCCACAGGGTACTCGTGGCCATCTGTCTCACCCCGGACCTCTCATTGGTGGTCTGTGCAAAGAATCCCCTGCTTGAGGCCTGAAAGTCTGGACAGGTGTCCTCAGGAGAGCTGGTGAGTCCAGGGGCTGCCAAGCCATGGTATCTGGGAGGAGGGTGGACCTTGATGTCAGATGATCTTGGGTTGAGGTCTTCACTCTGCCATCCTTGGATAAGCTAATCAACCTCCTCAGCCTCTGCCTCCTCGTTCATAAAATAACAGTAATTAGACCTGTCTCGGGGTGAGTGTGAGAGCCATACAGACAGACTTTATCTGAACATGTTCCTGTCAGTGCCTGAGACTTGGGAATTGCTCAGAAGTCACTTCCTCTCTCCCCCCCTCACTCCTTCCTCCCTCCTTTCCTCTGGATTCTCTGTCCCTCTCCCATCCTTTTCATTCATTTTACCAATATCTAGAAGTTGATGCTCTTAATGTCTTTTGTTTGCACTTTCAGAGCAGTTCATCCTGTATTTTGCAGGGCTGTATTTTGGTGACAATGTTTTGATGGCAGAAAGCTTTAACACACACATCTCTCCCCTGTGTATTTATCTACATATCTGTATCCTTGACCTTTCAGGGTCTTGGCTCAGTTTTGTGGAAGGCATCACTCCTAGTGCCAAGGTACAAAAAGCACACGTCACTATTCCCTCTCATTTTCAATGTCTGTGAAATTTGTAATAAAATGTTCAGACGGGGTGGGGGAGATATTTCAATATCAGTTTATTTTTTACTACTCTGGGGGAAATAAAATTTTTGAATTGGGTGCCCTTGAATGACCCTCGAGGTCTTTGCCTATCCCCTGGATAGGGGATGGTAGATTTAGCTGGAGATGAAGCGGGGCTGATGCTTCTGCCCACCTGCTGGGAACTATTGCTAATAACTGTGGGCAAACTACTTTTCTTCTTCAAACCTGTATTTTCATGGTCTATAAAACAACCTCAGGGAATAAGATGTATGTGGAGGGACACAGTACCTGGCAAGACAAACAGCAGGTGATGATGCTAAGGCCAATAATTATTTCTGTTAATACTGGGGCTCAAATTTAAGCCAGTTTGGGTTCTAGATGTGTAGGAGATTCAGGTATAAGGCGGGAGTGTCCCTGACATCTGAATGCTTGTGGCCCAGTAGCAGTAAAATAAGTGCCCCATCCGCCTTCACACAAGACAAGAATGGGGTAAATACTAAAGGTGGATGACAGCGTGCTGAGGATTTGCAGAGGTAGGAGCATTGGTGATGGAAAGAGCCCCCATTGCGGAGCCCCGCCCCCCACATCTGGCCCATTGAGTTCACCATCAGCTCTGTAAAAGATCTGTTAATTCTCAACTCTGTTTTATACCCAGTCTAACAGTCTCAGAATTGGGAAGTGTCTTCCTCCAGGGTCACACACAGCAAGTGAGAGGCAGCACCCAGTACTAGAACTCAAGTCCATCAAACTCCAAAGCCCATGCCTTTCTCCACACCACACCAGGCTTCCAACCCCTCAGGCCTCCCCTCTGGCTCTCAGGAGCCTGGCCTCCCCTCTCAGGTCCCTTCTGGCTTGTTTGTCACCTGTCCACTTGGTTATTAAATGATTAAAGAGATTTCTACCTAGAGGCAAGGAAAATTCTTTGAAAGAAGGTCCTCTCACCGTGGCGACAACCTGCAGAGGCTTCAAGGTAAACCAGAGGGAAGAACTCTGTACAGCCCCTTGTCTGGTCTACTGGCCCTCCTGTTCAACTCTGAGCACGGAGAGGCTCTTAACTCCCAGGAGGTGCTGCCAGTGATTTGGCACATAGCTCAGGAAGGACCTGCTAGAGGAGATGTGAACTCAACATTATTAGAATGTCCCTGGGTAGTTACAGTAGCACTGGGAAGGCTGCTGACCTGGACCAAGTTGCGGGGAGGTGATGGTCCAAGGGTTGTTTTTCCCAGAGGGAGAGAGTCTGGCCATGGCCCTGGTCCAGGGGCATGTGTACACTCTCTGTTGTTGGTGGGATCAGAGTTGGAGGCATCCTGCCCAGAGGCTAAGCTAGAGCTTCTCTAGGACTGGGGTTGGGGTGAACCAGCCAGACAGCCTGTAGTATGGAGGAGATCTAATAGGTGTAGATTTAGGTACTAATGAGTATGCAGAAATTCTCATATTCTTAAACTTTTAATTAAGAAAGGCTGTGTGGTATAGGGGTTAAAATGCGGGAATGGCAGTTACACACCCTGGAATCACTTCATTGCATATTTCCTCACTGCATGATCTTGGGCAATTTCCTTTTCCACTCTGTGCCTCAGTTTTTTCATGTAAAATTGAAAATATTAACTATTGCTTGTGGGTTTTTGATGAGAATTATATTAAGTGATGCGTATAACACACTTTAGCTTAGGGCCTCTCACTTAGTTTATTGTTGCTGCTGCTGTTTTTAGAACCACTACAATTTGACTGGGAGAGATAGGTCTAAGAATTAAGGGAATAAATAATACAGTAACCCAGGATGTGGAATATGCTAAATTTTCAGTACATCATTCGAGCATATTAGAATATGTAAGAATGTGCTTAAATGTAACCTCCATAAAGGTTAAGGATTTGAATTAGTTCACAGTAGTATTCCCAGTGCAAATAAGCTTGCCCAACACATAGAGGTTTCCAAAACATATTTGTTGAATGAATATTTTCAAAACCAAGCTTTTTCCTGCCTTGGGGCCTTTGCACATGCAGTTCCTGCTGCCTGGTATTCGCTTCCTGAAGCTCTTTCTCTCTTCTCATCCTTTAGGGCCCTTTTTCCAAAAGTTATCACCTGACTACAACTCACCCCTCCCATCATCGTAACCTAAATTACGTCAGTGTCCAGGATGTCTGTCCCAGACTCCTTGTTCATTTCCTGTTAAGAGTCTTCATAATTCACAATTGCACATTTATTTGTGTTTGTTTTTTCACTCTCTGCCTCTCACTGACTATAAACTCCGTAAGATGGGAATCAGTCTTATCCACCGATTCTCACACCCTCCTTGGTGCCTGGTAAGTAGCAAGCCTAAATGTGCCAGAACTGTTCAGAGGAAGAGAACAATGGGCCGAGGCAATTGGGTTAATTTTCTACTCGTGTATGAGATGAACACTGGACTACTCAACTTCTTGTCTCCTTCTCCGATGGCAGAGTCAGATGAAGTAATTCTGTTGAAGTTTGTGCATATGTTCACTCATTTACTCTCCAGGCCTCGACTGGGCCCTTGCTTGTCCATTGAAGGGTGGGCTCTCCCCTCTGTGTTCCAGGCCACAGCTAGGGTGGGCCTTCACAGTCAGGGAGAGTGTTGTTATCTCTGGTGCTCCTACCTGGCTGGAGTTCAGTTTGTGATGGAGGAGGGACCAAGCACAGGAAGGCACCCATAAGGTGGAATGCACAAGGGGAGAAGGGGCTGGGGAGAGAGGTGGATAAACTTAGGTTGCCTGTCTGTCTTCAGTGTCCCATTCAGCCACGGGATTCTGCAGAGGAGGGGTTTAACCACTGTTTCAGGACACGGGTCAGGCCAGGTTCCTGCAAGTGTCCGTCTCCATTGCCTGTCTTGCTGATGCTAGCCACTCTGGGTCCTCAGGTGCCTGGATGCATTGCTGACCTGCCTTCCATTCACACTGCTGCTTCTCCCTCCTGGCGTCACCCCCAGGCGGCCTCCAAAGCCTTCTGGTTTGCATTATGTCGTTCAGGACAGCAGATCATTAACATCACACTTCTGTCCCCTCCTGGGTTCCATGGTCAGCAGGTCAGGGTTCTTCCAAAGAAAGCTGGCTAATTATATCCCTTGTCAGAACAAAACCCTGCAAGGGGAGCCACTCGGTGGCCTATAAATGCAGCCAGAATGGGAGCAGCACTGTTGCCATTAAGGATTTGTCTCCTCCCAGCTCCAGCTCCCCTGATCCTGGTGGAACCAGCAGCAGCCTTCACTTGCTAACTCACCCCTGCGTGTGTTGGGCTGTGGGATGAGCTGGATCCGCAGGTCTCCCTGCCAGTGGAGGCATAGGAAGCAGCAGAAAAAAGGGAGCCGGCAGGGAGGCTGGAGGCTGGCTAGAGAGCCGGCTGCGGGGGTTGGAGGCCTGCGCCAAGTGCCAGAGCGAAGCCGGTGGCTGAACTCCTGTCACACCTCCCTCTGCTCTGCCACCCCCCTTCCCCAGGCTTCTCCTCCTTTTTCCCCCCGGTCCCTTTTACTTTCTTCCTCTCTCTTCTAAGAGATTTCTTTATATTCTTTACTTTCCTTGGACCAAAGGGCTTTCTAACAAGATAATCGGCATACAGAAGTCCAGACTCTTAAAGTAGTTTTATTTATTTATTTTTTACAGTACTGGGGGTTGAATCCAGGGCCTTTCACATGCAGGGTGAGTGCTCTACCTCTGAGCTACATTCTCAGCTCTAAAAATCTGAACTTTTCTAAAGTAATGACCTCATATTTATTCTCTGCCCAAGTCCAGGGTATCAGACCTTTTGGGTGTGGAGCGAGGGCCATCCTGGCCCGGGACTTGGAGGAGGACTAATGCAGGAAGTCTCTGTTCACAGACTGATGCTGAAAAACACTCACAGGTGGAGAGGAATTCCCTGTGGTCTGGTGATGACATCAAGAAATCAGACGGAGGGTCAGACAGCGGCATAAAGATGGAGCCCGGTTCCAAGTGGAGGCGGAATCCTTCTGACGTGTCGGATGAGTCTGACAAAAGTACGTCGGGCAAGAGGAACCCCGTCATCTCCCAGACAGGCTCATGGCGGCGAGGCATGACAGCTCAAGTGGGCATCACCATGCCAAGGACCAAGCCGTCGGCCCCTGCGGGTGCGCTGAAGACCCCGGGAACTGGTGAGTAAGAGGCCAGCACCGTCCTGGGTCTGCAGCTGCCAGTTTAAAACCCAAAACCGTCGTAACTCTAGTGAGGACTTATTATAAATTCCTTCGTTGGGTTTAACCACCCCCTCTCAGAAAGGCTCACATCCTGCCCTTTTACTAAGGGGAGCTGGGTAAGCAGCTGAGCCCTGAAAGCAGCTCAACTGCGGGGGGTGGGGGGGTGTTGGTTGGTTTAACTGTACACCAAATTGGTTTAACTAGATACCAGGCAACCTCGGCGCACCTGGTTCAGGCTGTTCAACTGCATATCGGTATGCTGAGTGTCACCCGTGAGTTAGGAAATAGGTGACAAACGAGGGTATGAGTCCACCTGGAAGTGTTAGGCACAGCCTTGTAACAGACAGAGGGTGAAAGGTCAGAAAAAAGGCTCCTGGGCAAAACAGTGATTGCGATCTAGTAATTTTATTTAGTTTTATTTTTCCATGTTTTTTATAGATGCATTATCATTGTTCATAATGTCCTGGGTAAATTTAGACTGCTTCGCAAATAAGTAAAATCCTCAGCACTTCCTAAAAGACTCCCTGACAGTAATACACTAGATGATCTTCATGGAAAACTCTCTCCCTTAGCCTCAGGGTACTGCTTCCCTGAGGGGAAAGTGAGCCCCTTCTTCAGAGTAAGGGAAGCTGGAAGTCGGACTCCTGGTTTGCAGGCTAACCTTGCTGATTTCTCTCTCAGGAAAAACAGACGATGCCAAGGTGTCTGAGAAGGGGAGGCTTTCACCCAAAGCCTCCCAGGTGAAGCGCTCCCCATCTGACGCAGGCCGCAGCAGCGGTGACGAATCCAAAAAGCCCCTCCCCAGCAGCTCCAGGACGCCTACGGCCAACACCAATAGCTTTGGGTTCAAGAAGCAGAGTGGCTCTGCTGCTGGGCTCACCATGATCACAGCCAGCGGGGCCACAGTCACCAGCAGGTCAGCCACACTAGGCAAAATCCCAAAGTCATCTGCGCTTGTCGGTCGGTCAACTGGACGCAAGACGAGCATGGATGGGGCTCAGAATCAGGACGATGGGTATCTGTCTCTCAGCTCCCGGACAAACTTGCAATACCGGAGTTTGCCGAGGCCCAGTAAGTCCAACAGCCGGAATGGGGCTGGGAACAGGTCTAGTACCAGCAGCATAGATTCCAACATGAGCAGCAAGTCCGCAGGCCTGCCGGTGCCGAAGCTCAGGGAGCCTTCCAAAACGGCCCTGGGCAGCTCGCTGCCAGGTCTGGTCAACCAGACAGATAAGGAGAAAGGCATCTCCTCGGACAATGAGAGCGTGGCTTCCTGTAACTCGGTGAAAGTGAACCCAGTTGCCCAACCTGTGCCCAGCTCGGCTCAGGCCACTCTCCAGCCCGGGACTAAGTACCCAGATGTGGCCTCCCCAACTCTCCGCAGGTAAGTGAGAAAATAAATGGTACCAAGCAGAGCTGCAGTAGGTGAAAGGGCATCCTAGGTTAAGAAGTTCTTGTTTCTTCTTGCCGGGCATGGTGGTGGTGCATGCCTATAATTCCAGCAACTCAGGAGGCCCAGGCAAGAGGATTGCAAGTTGGAGGTCAGCCTTAGCAACTTACTAAGACCCTGTCTCAAATTAAAAAAAATAAAAAGGGCTGGGATGTGTCTCAGTGGTTAAGCAACCCTAGGTTCAATCCCTAGTACAAAAAATAAAAATCCTGTTTCTCAGTTAAAGTAACCTCTATTTTTCTTCTACTTCAGTCCTTTTAGATAAAGTTGTTCAGGCAGTTTCTGCCTGCAATTTTGTAGTCCAAGGGTTATTTTTCCCTGTTGGGATGGAAAAAGGCAAACCTCTGAAATCATCATTCTAGGTTCAAATCATGAGACCATCTTAATTAACCACTGTGTAACCTTTCTTAACAACTCTGCCTCAGCTTCCTTATCTGTAAAATGGGGATGATGATTCTTCTCCTGAGGTTTTTGTAAAGTTAATCTTTGCAGCTAGATCTGGCCATCGTAAACTCAACACTCAGTAAAAGTTGATTACCATCCGAGATGAGGTCTTGATACACTCTTAGAACAGGGTCAGTAGCCCAAGGAAAGCAAGTGATTTTTTTTTTTTTTTTTCTGATCTTGGTAACTCTGTGACTGAGCTTCCTCATTGTGAGAAACATTGATCTTAGCTGGATCTTTTCTGTACATCCCAGTGTTCTTTTTAATATCACATACATACTTCCAAGTTAGTCTCTGAAATTTTAACTTTCTTTAAAAAAAAAAAAAAAGAAAGAAAGAAAACATCTTAAAGCAGAACAATTTCTGAAAAGGAGAAATTGATTTCCCATTACCTTAAAAAGGCATCATTTTTCCACATTTCCACACTCGGTGCAATTTCTTAATGTAGAAACAGTATTCACTGTTTTTTTAATCGTTTCTTTGACATTTTGCCTGCTTATATTATCTCGTTGCCCATTGGACCATCCTTACATCGAAGCTGAGCATAGTTTAGAGCTCATTCCACCTCCCCGGGAGATTTCTTGTCATAAGAAAGAATGAGTCCCAAGGACGGAAAATGAAGCAGTGAAAAATGAAAAACTAAAGGCACGTACATACTTGGGGGTGAGCGGGAATGTTGAAAAGACTTCAGAAGCAGCATTCCACTTGAAAGGTATAATGAAACTGTTCACTGTCCTTTGTCTAGACTTGATTATTAGAATTTCAGTAATGATTTTTTTTTTTTTTTTTTTTGAGGGGGAACGTCCTGTTGGCCTGCTCTTTGTTGTTTTAACAGTTTGCCTTGTAAATGAAAAATTTCTCTGCTTCTTGCCTCAAGTATCACATGTAATATCTGCTCTTTGGTATTACAGATTCCCTTTAGTAACTACAAAGGCATTTCACTAGACCCTGAGGCTGGTGTGACCCAATACGTGAGAATGCATGCAGCTCCTTAGGTCTGCACTGAGCCCCAAAGTGAATCTCACTTTCCCTAAGTTGTTCTTGATTCTCTTGCTGTGCATTAATATGGAGAGTGAAGGGAGGTAGCTAAGTCTTGAGATGATTCGAAGGACTCACAGACAAAGACTGGACTTGTCTTTGGGACAAGTCTTTGGGATGGGGAACAGTTGCATAAAAGACAGGAAAAGAAGGATCAGATTTTGGTTTTCTAACAGTTACAGAAGAGCTGGCAATGGAGCAAGTTACCCATTAGTACTGAGGTCCCCGTAACTGGAAGTATGTAAACATTCTAAAGCCAAGATTCTACAATACTGTATTTCATTATCTGGTTTTCACCAGGGGGAAAGCATTTCTCTTCTGTCACCAGATTCTGTGGTGAGGATTGGTTGAGGATTATTGGTTCTATGTCTGCTTATCTTTATAATGAGTAAAATTTGCAGGATTGGAGATGACATAGATCACCACTTTGAGTAGCTGGGTGAAACACAGTCTGCCTAATAGTTTCATCACTTTTACTCTGGGTGGAATAAAGCCCTTGCATTACTTGAATGTGACTTTAAGACATCTCCTCAGTTGGCAGAGAGCTCTATGCTGATGGAAGAAGGAGGCCTGTATGCCATTTCCTGTGCTGCATTGTTGACCAGGGAGATGACATGAAGTGGCACTTTTGTGTGTCTGTTCCAGAGTCATGATTTGTACCCAGCATGTCTGGCCTAATGTCTTGTGAACCCAGCAAGTTTTCTGTGTATGTCTCCTACCCTAAAATATACATCTTTTGGGCTTTCCTTTGAGGATTAATCTGTGAAGATACTTTTCCCAGGCCCCATCCAGATCTAGACTTACGTTCTTGATTCCTTGCATTGTGCTTAGCGACTGGGATTGAGCTGTCTGCTTTGTGTCATGGGTAGGAAAATGACTTAGATAGCTCTTCCCTCTTAGATGTTTCCTGGGCCAGGACAGTTTTCTAGTTAGTCTATAGAAAGAAAGGGAGGTGCCACCTTGGACCAGTGTGACTGGCCCAGTAGAAGGATGAGCCTTCCTCACCACCCATTGGTTCAGAGAGGACCAGGATCTCAGCTGCATCCTAGAACTTGCAGTTGGCACTTGTGATAGAGGTGTCATATCCAGGCCTTTGGCCAACTTTTTTCCAATTCAGTAGGACAGATGGTGTCTCCCTCTCCAGGGAGTCTTGCTGCCCGCTATGCCCTACTCTCCTCTTAACAACTCAGCGCCCCTTGGCCTGGGTGTTCATCCCACACAACCCTTTGTCTCTTCACAGACTCTTTGGTGGGAAGCCTACCAAGCAAGTGCCCATCGCCACAGCTGAAAACATGAAAAATTCGGTGGTCATCTCCAATCCTCATGCCACCATGAGCCAGCAAGGTAACTTAGACTCCCCATCAGGCAGCGGCATCCTGAGCAGTGGTGGCAGCAGCCCTCTCTACAGTAAGAACCTGGACCTCACCCAGTCTCCTCTAGCCTCCAGCCCCAGCTCTGCCCACTCGGGCCCTTCCAACAGCCTGACCTGGGGCACCACTGCCAGCAGCTCCTCAGCAGTTAGCAAGGATGGCCTGGGCTTCCAGTCTGTGAGCAGCCTCCACACCAGCTGCGAGTCCATTGACATCTCCCTCGGCAGTGGAGGGGGACTGAGCCACAATTCCTCCACTGGCCTGATCGCCTCCTCTAAGGATGACTCTCTGACGCCCTTTGTCCGAACCAACAGTGTGAAGACCACACTGTCGGAAAGGTTGGTGCTGTGCCCCTGGCTGTCCCCATCTCTCTCTCTTTCTCAGGAAGAAGCTGTTTCCAGAGCACAGAGATTAGGTTAGGAACCCCAAATGTTAATTCACCTTTGCCTGCGAGATTTCGTTCTTTCCAGTTACTGCTCTTTCACAGGGAGGCCAATTTGGGATGGAATTTAGCTTGACTATGCTTTCTGTTACCTCTTTGTCCTGCGGTTATCCTTGGTTATCCTAGAGCTGCTGGATGTCTCTTGGGTGCAGATCTATGCTACCATTTGAAATGGCATTCAGCCTTTGAAATCCTCCCATTTTACTCTGTTCATTCATCAGCGCCTTCTTTCCCCTCCCACTTGTAATTGTGCAAAGGGGGCGGCTGTTCCAGTGCAGCCATGAGACGTGTGGTGGCTGGATGTTCACTGGGCCGCTGGGTAGATTTAGTGTCATAGCAAACACCCTTCCACCGAATTGCCACTGGCCACAGTGATAGGAAATCAAGAAACTGAAAGTGTCCTCAGAGCCCTGGCTTTCACTGCAGTAGTGATGTGTGGCCAGTTTCTGCACTTGGGAAAGAAACCTGGTAAAGAGGTTAGTAAAGAGGAAAGTAAAGAGGAAAATATCACTTGTGTGTAACAACGCGTCTCCTTTTCTTCAGTCTAATGTTCCTTCTCTTGTTTTCTACCTGCCTGGATTTCTAGCCCTCTCTCTTCCCCTGCTGCTAGCCCTAAGTTCTGCAGAAGTACTCTGCCCAGGAAACAGGACAGGTAATGATGTTGTAGGCCGGGGCCCCACACAGGCCTCCTGGCTCCTCTGCCTGTCTGTTGTCAAGCCAGATGTTTTGTGCAAGGCTGTTGGCCTGAGGCTTCTGCTTGTGTTTGTGGTTCTGGTGTATTCTGTGACACCCAGACATGCCAGTGAGTGTCTGTTCTGCTGTCTGAAGCTCAGGGAGGTGGAGTTGGGCTGGCCCTTTCATTCCCAGCATGGGAAGGCCACCTCAAAATCTGCCCCTTGACCTGGAGTGGCACAGGCTCTCCCTTGCATCTCCCGTGGTCTCCTGTAGCATGTTCCCTGCTCCCCAGATTCCTGCCATTGCCTCCCCACCCCAGCCCAGAAATGGTGTACCACCCACTGTGCAGCTTGGCCCTCTGCTCTTGTCAGCCCCTCCCCATGCAGCTGGCTCTTCTCCCTTTCAAAGTCCTTCCCTGCAGTTTGGCTCCTCCTGTCGTGCAGACTGTTGTGTTCAGTGTGCCCCTTTCCTGTAATGATAATGAGAAGAATACGCAGATTGTAGAAGCTTGTGTTCACCCCCAGCTGTGGGTGGGCCTCAGGGATGGAAATTGACCTTAAACTTGTGGAGGAGCAATGGCTTCGCCAAACATAACAAGTAAATGTTGTTTCATGCTAAGGGAAAAAAAAAATTAATGGAAACCCTCTTCACCCCATCAACAGCAAAAACTTTGTTTTTGTCAGACTCACAAAACAAGCTTTTAAACCCTGTTCTTTGGAAATCCAAATGCCTTGACTCCGTCAGTCAGCAAGTTGGAACTTGCCCGACTCCAGCCCAGGGCTCAGCTCCCTGCTACGCCTTTGCTAGGTTAGAAAGAGGGAGAAATGGAGAGGGACCTGGAATTCACTTTGTTACAGATGAATTTCAAATATGCAGACTGCTGGCCCCTTGAACCCCTTCAACAAGTCCATTCTCCCTCTTGAAGCCATTGCCAGTGGCATTTAGGAGGCGGGCCAGAGCTAAGGGTGCAGGGAAGCTGGTATTTCTTTCTCCAAGGAACCAAGGTGGTGGTAGTGCAGAGATGGGCAGCAAGGGCTGTGCTTCAAGTTGGGGCAGCCCCTGAGTTTGGCTTTGAACCTGTGGAAAAGGAGAAACGATTGGGGTTGAGCGACTCAGGCCACCTGGTGACTTGGGGTAAAGTATGTACTGTGTCAGCTCAGGCCCAGGACAGGGCTCCTTTTGCTTTCCCGGGTGGGGATGTGTTGCATGCAGAGCTGGGTAAGAGGGCTCTCCCTGGTGATGGGAGTCTTCCTCAGGGCTCTTTGGCCTCTTCCCCAGCCTTCTCCCCTTCGCATTCCCTGCTCCCTGTGCTTCTCTGAAGTTCTTCTTTTTGTTTTAACTTTCCTACAGTGACCCGCACCTTGATAGGAACACTTTGCCTAAGAAAGGACTCAGGTATCTGTCTCCTTGCACCCATGCCATCTGTTGTGGCCTTGGAGCTTGCTGTGTGGCTCTCTCATGGCTGGTGGGGGTTTGTACTGGGCCGGGGATCTCGCTTTGGCCACTGCAGCAGGACCTTTTGGATGACCGCTCCCGTGGATCCCACTAGTTCTCATCTCTCCATCTGTGGCTTATTTGCTTGAGCAGGGGCTTGTGCTTCTTCAGGCTTAATGTGATACAACCATCTCATGACAGACGTCCCTGGGCAAGCCCAGAGAGCAGCCACTGCTACTGCTGGGCCCCAGTGGGATTCATTCCTGAGCACTTCTCCTCAACCATTCTGTCCACATGGCTGTCTTCTAGCAGAAAGAGCATGACTTATAGCGTGCTGATTTGTTAGATAGCTCCAGAGCCAAGGAGAAGAGGGATATTTCACTCCCGATTTAAAAACATTTAACTTTTTGGATTGAAAAAAAAATACTGCTAAAGACAGATACCTTGCTCTTATGTAGATGTTCTAATTGATAACCAGTTGGCTTTCAACACCCCCGCCAAGATGTGGTGTGCATGTATGACAATAGAGACTACCAGGAAGGAATATCCTTCCATGTATAGTAAGTCATGGCTTTGTTCATTTGGGGGGCTCATTCTGGTAAAACAGGATGCTATAAGTCACCGCTGCTCATACCATCCACCTCACTGTGCCAACCCTAGGAACTCCAGTTTGCTCCTGCCTCCCCTATGGTCTGACTGTCATCTCTCCTGCTTCCTAAACACCTCATTCTTCATAGCATCGGCTTCACCCTGAGCTAAGCATTAAGTGCTTTTGCCTAAAATGGAATTTGGAATGTGATGTTTCATTGCCGTCATGTATGTCTAGTTGATTAACCTGCAGCTCTTAAGACTGAGCGCATTTTGAACAGTAACGAGAGGTAGGTATCAATGCTTCCTTTCAATAGGAGCCCCGAGTAAAGTCAATTCTAAGGAGAGTGTTAACATCTCCCGACAGCCTGGGAGAGGGCATTCAGCTCTGTTGCCTTCAAGTCAGCATGGCCTTTGGTACTTGAGAGTTCATGTGGTGACTGTGAGCACAGCTTGTCAGCGACCGTGCTCGATGCTTTAAGCAGCTGCCTCTCCTTATACCAATTTGACATCGATGCCCCTCTTTGACCCAAAGGAACCTAGGTTCTAAACATTAATGTTTTGAAATGGTGTATTTCTGTAGCATATCTGCCCTATCAAAATTATGTCACTGTGGCTTTTAAAAATTGGTATTTGGAAAAATTCACAATAGGGATCTGTGACAATCTATTTACAAGCAACTAGTGTGCTTTAGAAAGTTGGAAGTCCATTGAACATAGGAAAACCCTTCAGGAGGAAGCATTTCTGTGTTTCCTTTCACTCTGGCTCTCCCTGTCAAGTTCACTCCCTCAACACACACTGGTTGCACCCTTTTTTAAGCCAAATGAATCTCTGTCGTTACCTAATCAGCAGTCATTCCATAGTACATAAGTGCAAAAGTCCTGGGTGCTTTAGGAATTCTAGATGTTGTCAGCGGGTACAAAGAAAAGAGCATGGATTTTGGAGTCAGAAAACATGGATTAAAATCTCAGCTCTGTGACACAGGACAGGGAGCTCACCTTCTCAGAACATAAGATGAGAATAATCAATCTTAGGCTTTAGAGAGATAATGCCCATACAGGCATCTGGCACAATGAGAGGTTCAAGGTCATTACCAAGTACATTCCAGAGCACAACAGAAGGTGGGCCACATGACTTCTGAAGACCCTCTCATGCCAATCACAGTAACTTGGGGTTCCTTCTGTGAAGGCTCAAATGTGCTAGATTGCAGCGACTGCTATGAGCATCAGTGTCTTCAACCCTCCCTTCACACCTCAGCTTTCTAACGTGCTGTGATTCATGGCTATTTAATTGTGCTGTAGAATGCAGATGCCAGGAGTCACCTAACTAAAACTTCTTCGAAGCTCTAACAGCAGATCCTTCTGTTGCCTCTGTACTGTCAAGGTTGGGGTTTTGACATGACACTGTCGTGAATCAACATGTTATAGTTACGCCCAGTGACGGCTCTTTTGAGCATTTACCAGACTTCTTCCCTTTAGGTATTCCCTCCAAATTGAAAGAATTATAATTTTCTCCAAATGCAGCCAAGTAGCATAAAAGGTTTTAAGAAACTTCAGAAGTTTCAGGGTGTGTAGGGATATGTTTTTTTTTTTAACCAGCTTTGGATATATATTTTCTTTTTATATATTGTCATCAGCTCCACAGAGATCATTTTCATAAGTGTTGTTCATAGTTCATTCCAGCCTGGTTTCTGTCTGCCCAGGTATACTCCCACCTCCCAGCTTCGCACACAAGAAGATGCAAAAGAATGGTTAAGGTCCCACTCTGCTGGAGGCCTGCAGGACACCGCCGCCAATTCCCCTTTTTCCTCTGGCTCCAGTGTGACTTCTCCCTCTGGAACGAGATTCAACTTTTCCCAGCTTGGTGAGTAGCTACTTGTCATGAGCCATAGACTGTATTATCCATAGAGAGGAGGTTGTCTTAGGATTTGGAATACACAGGTAGTCACATCCCTCTCATTGTCTGATCAGCCTTCAGCGATGTAGTTTGATTATAGGAGATAATAAAAGAAATAAAGAGACTAGCAAAGTTTGGGGTACGCTAGCCAATCATTCTCTTCCTGTAGTTGGTTTAGGGAAGGCAAACAGACCAGCCCATTCTTCAAGAGAATGCATTCCGTTTCTTAGACCTTTAAAGAGGGTTTTACAGCATATCTCATGCTTGGTCATTCTTGCCCTCTTATTAAGCTGGAAATAAAATTGAAGTTTTGATTGAACAAGTATTCTTGGAAATGCTTGCTGCTGACATATGCTTTGACTGGCACAATGGGAAAGGAGAAGAATTTGTAACACAGTCCCTGTTGACATGTCAGTGGATTCTTTTCTACAGAGAAAAACACACCCACGCAGACCTATAAAACAGAATAAAAGAGAACAATCCAAAGCTTTATAGAAAACCGTGTAATAACAGAATAGAATCAGATAGTGAATATTATATACAGTTAGGAAAAGATCGGTGCCAGTGGGCATTATTGGCAAAGGTTTTGGGGAAGCAGTGGGATGGGAGCTGAGCTGTGGAGGATGGATAGAGGGGGAAAATATGTTCCAGTCTCCTCTCAGTATTCAGAGAGAAAGCCTTTTCTGAATATTGTAAATTCAGTCTGTAAGGATAGGTGTGGCTTGTGATCAAGTGAGGTTTAACTCAGTTTTGATGAACTAAATAGGTACCTCTGAAAATACTGTGTAATACTAATACTGACATGGATAGAATTTTAGTCAGAAAGCTAGTTTTAGCTAAGTAAATGTGCCCCCTCGTGTTGAAGCTCTTTGTACATCATTATTAAATGCTCCTTTTCCGAGGCAGTGAGACCTGTGTTCATATTGTTCTTTCTCAGCCATAACTCTTTGCAGCAAGAGATTCTTGTCATGCACAAATGCTTCCCATCTGATCAAAAGCCTGGTTGGACTATTTTGGTCTTTTGGCTTTAGAGAGAATTGTTCCAGATGAGCCCGGGGAGTAATTAGCTCATGCCTGGAAGGTGACACTGGCTTGTCTGAACGTGCCAAGTTGGAATGCCAAGGCCCAGAGCCTTGCTTTGGAACTGACCCGCCTTCCCTCCCATATTTTTAGCTCTAAGTGTGTAGCTCCTAGGCTGATTTGACTACCTTTTAGAAAATAAGACAAGGGAGAGAAGTTGGCAGGAGCGTGTATGGCTGATGATAAGGAGTCTCCTCTCTGTCCCCATCTGGGATTTGAACAGAGACATGAATTTGCAACATTTGATTCTGTTCCTTTCATCCCAGCGAGCCCCACCACTGTCACCCAGATGAGCTTGTCCAACCCGACCATGCTGAGGACCCACAGCCTGTCCAACGCCGATGGGCAGTATGATCCGTACACTGATAGCCGCTTCCGGAATAGCTCCATGTCCTTGGATGAGAAGAGCAGAACCATGAGCCGTTCGGGTTCCTTCCGGGATGGGTTTGAGGAAGGTAAGGAAAGGGATTTGCCATCTCCTAGGTTACTCAGCACTCGGGTGAGCGTCCTCTATGCTGGGTTTACTCTGTTGGCCTGATCCCCCACTTGTGAGTTCCTCTAACTCTCCCTCCTCCTCTGGGGAGGGGAATTCTGAATAGTAAGACCTGACTTTTAATTGGCCTTTTAGGACTTTAGGGAAGAGGCTGCTGAAAACACTCTGGTGGCCCTCAGCGCTGACTGAGTTCTGCTCTAGGCCTCTCTGTCCTGGACTAGGGCCACAGCTTCTTGGCAGGCACCTCCATCCTGAGACCCAGCCACTGGCTCGCCTTCCTGGCAGAGTCACGGGAGAGTTTGTTCCCTGTGTTGACGGACCTATATAGCTCTAGGAGCTGGGCACCATGCCTCTCTGCTCTGCTCCAGAATTTTCTGTCTCTAGTGCTACTTTTTTTCTTTTTAATTTATTGCATTCATTTTTACCCTTTTCCTTCTTTGGTTGCCAACTGTGCTTCTTTTGGGTTGAGTTTTTATGTTTTGTTCATTTTAATCAGAATTGTAGAAGAAAAGTTCTGTGGACAACTTCGTCAGCCTCCTCACAAGTCACCCTACTCCTCTTTCTCTTTGCTCCATCACCCAAGGTCTGAGTTAGGGGACGAATGGTCAAAATCCTTTTGAGGGACATCACCCCAAAGACTGGGCGCATAGGACAGTGAAGGCAGGCCCCAGTGACCAGTGAATAAGAATATGGAGTCAGACCAGCAGAGTTTAAATTCCGGATCCTCAATTCCTTAGGTATACGATCCTGGGCAAGTTGCTTCTCCTATTTTCTCACTGATAAATTGGGAGTGATAACAGTATTCAGCTCATGCAAGCCTAAGAATTAGATGAGATAATACATATAAATGTTAATGCAATAACATGATTACATGTCACAGCCTCTAGACAGACATTCAGCGCTGGTTTCCTGGCAGCTTGATGTCTCCAGCCAGGGCTAGAGACTGGGGCAAGCCGAGTCAGCTGAGGGCTATACCTCTGTTTGTGCTATTTTTTGCCAGTGACAAAAAAAAGATAGGGGGCAAGTCATAGGTGCCTCCTTCTGCTCCCAGTCCCTGTGAGTGGAGCTATATGTCTCGCATCTGACCAATAGGAAAGAACAAATTTGTAGTTATTTAGGAAATCCCAAATCAAAGGGAAAGAAGCATAAAGGCATCTGCTTTCTCCTAATGTTCTTTTAAACAAAAGTTTTAAAGAATTTAGTTACGGAACAGTGGTTAATCTTGGCGACTTAATACTGTCCCAGTGATTTATGTATCATTTGCATCCATGACATCCAGCGTGCAGACTTGACTCTGTAAATCCATATATGGGAACTGCAGGAACAGAGGACTAAGGAGGGGAGGAGCCTGGGTTACTGAGGGTTTTTTCCTTGATTTAAGAACTAAAAATGAATATTCTAACTGCTCAGAGCAGTCTAGTGGGGAGACATTGACCCCCAAGGTGAAGGAAGATGCAGTCTGTCTTGAGCTTTTCCTGGTTCCCTACTAGCCAAGCATGGCCACCAAGCATTTTCCAACCTCCCTGATGATAACTCTCATATGATGAGTTGATCCTGCATTGCGTCCATCTTCTCTACCCTGTGTACACCTGAGTGAACCACATTCAGTACTGAAACTTGTCCAAACAAGCACAGTTAGCCTCAGAAAGTTCTGGGACCATTCCAGTATCATCATCAGATAGCTTTTATTTTTTTCATCTGGAACCAACCTGACAGGCAGCCCAACTGTGCAGTATCTGGGATGTCAAAATGACAGTGATAAAAGAGCTTACCCACAAGCAGAATCTAGATATTCATAAACATGATGATTTATAGTGACAAGGAATTGAAGCACAGGGGTAAAAAAAAAAAATCAAACTTTGGAGGAAAAGGTAGGGACTGCTGTCAATGTGCTTGGGAACATGGAATGTTTTCATCCTTGGGGAAGTCTACTATCAGTGATATTGTTTCTCCTGAGACTGTTAACATTACAAAACAAAATAGAACTTGTGTTAACCAGGTCTTTTTAATTCCTCTGGATGCAAACTATTTTTTTTCATATTTCACATTTGGACCAAATAGAACCTCTTTATAATATGGCCTTGTGTATTCTATGCCATAAAGCAGAATAGAAACTTAGAATTAGCGCAAGTTGTTTGTGTGAGGTGGTTGTACGTTTGAATCAGTACTTACCAGTTTAGAGGTAAGTGGGAATCCTGGGTCTGTAGGGTAGTTGCAGGAATGGCCCAGATGCAAGACCCTTCGAAATTATTTCAGATAAATTAATTTTTATCAGAAAACACTGCAATCTCCCAGCAGCTCAGGAGGCTGAGGCAGGAGGATCAGAGTTCGAAGCCAGCTTCAGCAATAGTGGGGCACTAAGCAACTCAGTGAGATCCTGTCTCTAAATAAAATTTTTTAATAGGGCAGGGGATGTGGCTCAGTGGTTGAGTGCCCTCAAATTCAATCCCTGGTACTCCCCAAAAAGAAAACACTGCAATCTTAAAATCAATTTTAGTAGCATATACTTCGAGGAATGCTGGGTGCATTTTTAAGATGGTTGTCTTTGCACAAAAACAAACAAACAAACAAACAAACATGATTTTATCAGTCATGACTAAGAACTGCTGTAATCTGAAAGCCAAGAGACCCCCATCCTGTCAGTTCACACAGACTCCCCAGCAGCAGAGCAGCTTAGTAAGGAGGAAGTCTTGTCCTGCATCATGCTCGTGTTCCTAGCCCCTGAGTTAGGGTCATGATTCAGATCCTGTCACCCCCATGGTTTGCACTGTGGCTTCAGGGAAGGGGTTGACTCTCATCAGCCTGTTTCCTGTTTGCTAAAATGTGGAAAATAATTGTACCTGCCTCAGAGGATTGAAGTGAAGATTGGGCAAGATAAATCCTGGAAAGCATTTAACAAATAACTCTGAAAGGGGCTTATCGTAAGTGCTCCATCAATGGTAGCTATTGCTGTAATTGTCATCTTATATCCTTCTCCCCAAGGGCCATTTCTTTCATCCCCATTTTTTTTTTAATGACAAAATTGAGACAGATGTGTCATGCAGAATGAGGTCCTAAGCCTCTTGAGTCCCAGCTCTCTTTTTACTCAATCCTTCATTCACATTTGATTTACCTAGCTTTTTTTTTTTTTTTCCTCTTTCACCCTTTCTCAGGCAAGGTCTAGTCTTTCATGGGTGTGTTCTCTGCTCTGTCATGCTTCCTCTGCTGGCTCAGAGGCGGGGTACCATTTTTTTCTCTCTCCTTCCATGGTACCCAACTGTGGAATGAGAATTAGAGTGTGATGCCTAGGTTTTCTCCTTGCCTCTGACTGGCTGTGTGCCTTTGGCCACATCACTTGACCACTCTGGGCCTTGATTTACTCATTTTCTAATTAAGGATAGAAACTCCTGCATAGTCTGGGATTATTATCTGCAAATTCTCTGTGATAATAAGGATTATTTTAAACAATAGTATAAATGAGAAAATGCTTTAATAGTAAAAGTGTGTGTGTGTGTGTGTGTGTGAGAGAGAGAGAGAGAGAGAGAGAGAGAGATTCCCAAGTGTGACATTTGACTGCTCTATTAATTGGAGTATGCCCAGTCATTTGATTCTGTCTAGAGGCTCTACATTCTGTGTAGAGGTCTAAAGCTTCTTCATTCACAAACTTCAGTCCTGGATGTTGCTTCCGTATAGATTAAATAAAGGTATTAGGCAATTATTCTAAAATACACTGGAAAACTTTTCAAAAAGAAAAGAGAGAGAGAGAGAAGAGAAACCAATAGACCTGGTCACCAAGGGCAAAGTAGTCTCCAGATTCAATATCCCGTTCTTGAATTGTCATGTGAGATCTTAAGCAAGTTTTTTTTTTAACCTCTCTGAGTTTCTGATTCCTCAGTGGCAAAGATAGCCTAGGTTTCCCTGTGGTTCCTTGAAGCTATAAAATTTTGGAGGCACAGAGACTAGGAGCATAATTACATGGCACACTTTAGCTGTTTTAGTTTCAGATATCTGCCTTACAGCCAGGCTCTGGCTTGACTCGGGTCACTTGAAGGAGGAGCAGCTACAGTGGCTCAAGCCAGGCACACTCAGTTTTGGTTGACTCTGGGTCTTTTTTTTTTTTTTTTTTAAGACTTTATTTACTTATATGTGGTGCTGAGAATCAAACCCAGTGCCTCACACATGCCAGGCAAGTGCACTACTGCTGAGCCTCAGCCCCAGCCCCTCACAGGGTCTCTTTAGACCAAAGCCTTGCCCTTGCTTTTTACCAAGAGAGAGGAGTTAATTATGGTGAAAAACAAGGGACTGCACCTTAAGCCGCCAGTTGCGCTCCTCTGCCTGGGGCCGTAAGCTTGCCCTGAGTTGCTGCCTAAACTTCTTCAGTGAGTTTATGTTATAAGATATAGGGAGAGAAGAGAAAGCACTTCCATTTTCAACAGCGAAAGGCTGTTATAGCCCTCTGGAGCTGGCCTATGACAGGGCTGTCATGCCAGTGACGGAAGGGTGGCCATGTGTTATGCACATTCCACCTGAACCAACCTCTGATGGAGTCTGGCCCCTTCCTTCTGGGTCCTGCAGTTGAAGTAACTTACCCCTGTGGAACATTAAGCTGCTACTTTGGGGCTTTAGCAGCCTCTGTTAATATGTGGACACGTTAACACTGAAAGCCATTGTTGACCGTTAACACCTTAAACTGAGTTTTATAGGTATGAGTCAGATTTGTCATGGATGGAGGAAGAATGGAGGAAAATATCTAGAACTCAGCGCATTGCCAAAGAGGAGGGACAGGAATGGTGGGCGGAGTCAGACTCAGAGGAACAGGTACCTGCTGAGTGAGAAGAGGCCAGGATAGCAAGTGCAGAGCTCTGTGGGTAGAAGATGCAGATGGCAGGCAGGCAACGAAAGGCTTTTTGGAGAGGACATTGTTCGCACACTCCTTATTTGGTTGGGCACTATTTAGGGGCATCCCAACAAAGAGAAATGCACAGGCAGAGAGATTCCAAGGCTGGAAGGTACAAGCAGAGAGATTCCAAGGCATGATTGGGAGAGAAGGGAAGGAGTCATAATATGATAGGAACAAATAAAAGAAGAATGGGAGGTCAGGGAGGGTTTACTGGAAAGACCAGAGATAGGCGTCCAAGTAATAGGCTGTGCTGTTCATTTGGTGGTTCATTGGCAGGTAGCTTCTATTGCTGGGATGAGCTCACATCTTGAGTGGTAGGTGACTGCCATAAGTGCATGGTTAAACTTGCTTCTGAGGGCTGGGGTTGTGGCTCAGCGGTAGAGCGCTCACTAGCACGTGCAAGGCCCTGGGTTCGATCCTCAGCACCACATATAAAAATAAATAAATAAATAAATAAAATAAAAGTATTTTTAAAAAAAGTTGCTTCTGAGAATTCTGCTTCAGGCTGCAGGTTATCATGCAGAAAAGAAGTATAGGCATCCCACCTGTGGTCAGAACAGTGGGGCCTAATTCAAAGTTTTCATTCAGAAGTCTGAAAGCAGGAATAGTTCAGTCTTTGAAATAAGTTGTCAAGAAGTTACCAAGAGAATAAGAACCTGGCTTTCTAAAAGAGAAGGCATCCAGAACACCTAGACCTAGAAAAACCAGGCTTTAAAATGAGAATAATAAAATATCTCTACTGGATGGAGAGGTGATAAGGCTATACAAGTAGGATCTAAGTCAGAAAGTATTAGTTGCAAACAGAAAAAAGGATAGTACTTGCTTGTTACTTTGCAGAAACAATAGAAATTCAATGCAGAATCTGTACTTCAGTGAATGTTTTTGAACCACATATTCTGCTACATGGTCATGTAAAATGAATTGACTATGGTCAACAGCCTCTTGGGTTCAAACTAATCTGTTCATTTTTTTGAATATACAGCACAGGATATAAAATATATATATAATCTCGCAGGGTATAAAATACATGTGCAATGCAATCTCAACCCATAAAAGAATGACATTAGAAAAAAAAAGTAGAATAAAATATGCTAGAACAGTAGCAGATTGCCCCTGAATAGTGGAATCATGAGTTACCACAGGCTACCGCAAGGAATATGCCTCTTTCCTCTCTTTTTTCTGTTTGTGCTGGGGACTGAATGCAGGGCCTCCCACATGCTAGGCAAGCGCTCTACCACTGAGCCCCATTCCCAGCCTCACAAACTATTTCTTATTTCACCCTGACCTGTCACCAACCCAGGCCGAGGTGAGACCATCATGCTGAGCCTGACAGTATCCTCCAATTCTGATTTCCTGCTCCCCACTCCCTTTTCTGGTTCCATAGCAGCCAGCTGTGCAATTCACTTTGTTTTTTCTTTTAACAGTTCACGGATCCTCGCTCTCCTTGGTTTCCAGCACCTCATCCATTTATTCTACAGTGAGTATAAATCAGTGCCGTTGGCTATGATCATGAGAGCTTGGATTCCTTTATCAAATGTGTCAGGAATAAAATGCAATGAACATTGCTCCTGGAGAGAGCATTTCCATTATAAGGGGATCAAATAATTAGGGAACAAGATTTGAAATTCACAAGTAGCTATTAATTATAATATACTAACCAACAAGTCAGGAACTGGCTGTTTTGTTCATATGGTACTTTTGTCAGAATGTGTGAGAAGCCTTGGCCACCTGCTGGCCGGCATGGAAAAGAAAGGCTTTGAACAGTTCATTAATCCTCTGTCTGCCTCAGTTTCTTTTTCTGTTAAGTAGAAAGAACAGCAGTTTTTACCTTATAGAGTTGTATTGAGGACTAAATGGTTTGAACATTACATTTCACTGCAATAAAAACTCCTGGGAGATGAGGACTTTTTTTATTCCTAGTGCTGAGGACAGTGCCTAGCACCTAGTAGGTTTTCAAAAAGTCAGTTTGAAAGAAAGGAGAAAGTGCATGCATTATGTTAAACGTGGCCGGCACAGCTCAGGACAAACGTTCCTAAAGGCCAACTGTCATCGCTGAGAAGGCTGTTGAACAAAATGCAAATATAACCCAACACATTCGGATTTTCAGTACTACAGGATTTGTTCAGTGGAACTTACTTTTTTATAGCTATATGCTGTTTATCTTAAAAATATTAATTTGGGAATTCCTACAGGAAAAAAATTGCTTTGTTAATCCTTTAGCCTTTTAATTCCAAGGAAGCACATGCTTTAATCATTCAGGTGTTGAGAATTCTGGGTTTCTGGGCTATATAACAGGATGCACTGCATGCGGCTCTTTGAAAAGAAGTGATCGTGCCAGAATCAAGTGAGAGAGACCAGGATCTCATTGTTTATTATTAGTGAACACGTTGGTGATTGCTGATACAGTCTTATTTGAAGGACCTAGCAACTTTTGCTTCTGTTCCTACCTACCTCACCCCTCCAGCTCCACAGTTGTATCTCTTTAGTTGATTATTTTGTCTGAAATTTCATCATTGGGTCCTGGCTTTCCTCTTAAAGGTTTTATATATAGTAACCATGGGAGGGGTTAATGAAATCATTATCTACTAAGAAAGCATAGAGACGGTCTTCTAGCTGTTAGCCAGTAGATAAACAAAGTGCTCTCTTCTAGAATAAAATTTTTGGATGTAGATACCAAAAATAGTGCTTTCTAACCTACATTCACTTCAACGGTATTTACTGGCACCATTGATATGCCAGGCACTGGCCCAAGCCCCAAGGATATGGATTAGGAGAGAAAGGAGCCTATTGCCCAAAGTGGAAGCTGGAGGCACCAGAGAGACGTGGGACTCTAGTTTCCTGGGGTTGGTACAGAGCATCCATAGCAGATGTTGTAGTGCCCCATGTTCCCCCAGTGGCAAATCCAGGGACTTCTGTCAATGCAAAGACAAGTAGACCCTTCTCAGAGAAGGAAAAGAGCATGCCTTTTCCACTTGTGAGTGTTCAGATCTCGGAAGCCATCACATGTAATTCCTTGGGGCACCCCATTCATGCCAACTGCCAGAAGCTCTTGCAGTAAAGGCCTGGCTTCTAGTAGCTGCTGTTCTGGGTGTGTTGCATAAAGACAATGTTTTCATAACATTTGAAATTGACCTTTCTGAGTTGCTATGAATTCAACAAATTACCAAAGACCTATAAAAATAATTTTAAATTTCTATTTCTAGTCTATTCTATTTCTATTTCTAGAAACCCAAGGTCTAATCTTAGCTTATTATCCCCTTGACTTTGGACAAATTACCATTATTCAGGATGTTTCAGTTTTGTCTTCAATATCAGAAATCTGAGCAAGGTGATGTGTGAGTCTCCAGAACCTCTGACCTTCACTTAGTCAAAATCTCCCATTTACTATTCTTACATGTGCCTGCTCTGAGACTATAGATTGCTTTTTCAGGCTTTAAAAAAAAAAAAATAGACTAACATTAGAATGTTTTCATGCTAGAGCAGTCTGCCAGTTTTAAGAAAAAATTGCAAGTCTGGCTAGACTCTGCCACCACCTAGCAGTGATGTGTGGTCCCCTGTCTATTATTAGCTTCTGAGAGGTGATGAAATGCAGAAACAATGCTCAGCCCCCTTTGTAAATGCTAAGGTGTCATCTTTGGTCTCTTCAGTCGCCACAGACTCAGACCAAGGAATTTGCTTACTAGCTGAGAGTCTTAGGTCTCTAATTAGAGGATAGCAGCTTCTTCCCTTGAAATCTCTATAATTCTTGGATATTCAAAAATGCTCTTCTGTCTGAAATTTGCCTGCAATTTTAATTACAAATGAAAAAAAAAAAAGGCACCATGATGCTAAATAATAGCCATGATGCTAATAATAGCCATGGCCAGCCCTTGGAGTAGAGAGAATCTCAGAGGCCACAGGTGGCAGCAGACTTGCTTTCTTCATCGAGAGGGAAGAGCAGTGAAGTTCCCAGGGGAACTGTGGAACAGATGGAGGCCCGAAGCTCCACACAGGGCTCCCACGTGTAAAGAAGATCAGCAGTAGCTGGTGGCAAGATGCAGAGCACATGACTTTTGTTGGCCCAGCCTTAGCGACAGGTGGGCACAGTGGCAGACAGTGGCCAAGACTGTTAAAAACTTGTCAACAGAATAGCTTAAAAGTGGGGCTGGTCCTGTGGGTGTTTCAGCATGCTAACAGGCCCCCGGCAGCCTCCCATATGTTAGATAGCTGTGACATTCTCACTGTTTTCTTCGTTAGATCAGACTTAGAAGTCACAGGACTCAGTTCTGGAACGTTTCCTTGAGAATGTAGCTGTAGTACAAGAGAAGAAGCATGTGCTGGTTATGCCCATAGGCTGACTAGATTGCCTTGGATCACCCCAGCTCTGTCACTCATCAGCTGTGGGCAAATTACTTAATCTCTCTATGCCTCAGTTTTCTCATATGAAAAAAAAAAGCAATAGAATTAGTACACACAAAGGGTTATCATAAGGAATCAGTGAATCATGAAAATAAAGTGCTTAGAAGAGTCTGGCACATGGCAAGCATTTAGTCAGTGCTGCTTATTATTATCAGGATATAAGCAGCACAAGGTTAGAGACTTGTCACTTGTTCTTAACTCTATCCTAGGACCTTAAAACATTGCACCAAGTCAGAAATCAATATTTGTTAGATGGTGGTGGGGATATTAATATTTGTTAGATGGATGGATAATGGACAAATGGACAAAGAGAGTTGTGACAATGTTATCTGAGAGGCAAGTCTGAGCATTGAGATGGAAGTACCTTCTTCTGAGTTTCTCAGAGGAGGAGATTGTCACTGTGTGATTTTAGGTAATATACTTAACCTCTCCAAACCTCAGAAACAGCATACAAAAAAAACTACTTTACAGAGTTACTTCAAAGATTAAATAATTTGGCCTCCGATCCTTAAAAGTGAGTTGCTTTAGTTAGTAGCCAGCCTGGAGAAAGGAGATCTTGAGCAGGATCAGGAAAAGGGCACTGGGGGGCCTGGTGTGAAGGAAGATGAGACAGAAAACAGCTGCCCACCTGCTCTCGCTTATGTGTGTGGGTCTACAGGATCTAATGACTCGTTTCCCTTTTGTGCTCTTAACTATCAGAAGTACCCACTAGAGCCAGATATTGATTCCTAAAAATATTTGGGTTATTACTAGTATACTTAGATTAGGGTACTCACTGAGAACCTAAGGACAAGATAATGTTCTCATTGATATTTACTCCTATCCCTGGCTCCCAAGTCACTCCTCCATCCCTGAGTGGTGGGTGGACAGAAGGGCAGGAATACTTCCAGCATTTCCAGGAAATGGGTGGAGGGTTGAGTCCTTCCTTATGAGCCCCTGTGGGAACCAGAGAAGAGACAAAGAAAGGTTCCTCCTGTAGCAGTTTCCTCCAGCTCATGTGGGTTCCCCATGTGGGAAGGGAGACTCTTATAGTTTCTTTCTGGCCGGTACCTGTGTTACCACTGGCAGCAGGGAAGGCTTTACCAGTAAGAAGTTTCACAGGTTCACCATTACTCCCAGGAATTCCAGGTAACTGAAGGACTCAAGGTGGCACAGCAGGAAGTGAAGGCCATGTTATCCTCACAAGCTGTGGAGCCAGCAGGCTGGATGAACAGGAGCTTCCCAGCCCTTCACTCTAAGGCCTTTCTGCCCCCTCTGCTCCTACTGTAGCACCCTAGGGAGGCCAAATGAGGGAGAAAATGGGGACAGAATCAACCCCTGCCCCCTAGATGGGCTTGCCAGATAAAATACAGAACATACAATTAAATTTGAAGTTCAGGTCAACAACAAATAAGCTTTTAGTGTAAGTGTATCCCCAATATTGCATGGGATATGTTTAGACTTTGAAAACTGTTTAAATTTAGCATCTTGTGTTTTTACTCCCCAATGCTGGCTCGTGTCCTTCTCATGCATACCTTTTCCCAAGCACCTTCCTTTAGCCCATCTCCATGTGGAGGCTGGGTGGCTCCTCACAATCGGTTGGAATATTATTCTAATTCTTTCTTATTTCTTAAGATGATATTCTGTAGATGGATCAACTTAATTGAACCAGTTTAGCCAGAGAAATATATCAGAAAAGAAAATAAGTCTTCCAGATTTTTCTGAGTATCCAAATTTGCTGCTCCCCCATAGACTGGAATGTACTGTTCTTTGCTTCTCAACTAGTCTAATTTCCTTTGTGATTTATTTACAGCCAGAAGAAAAGTGCCAGTCAGAGGTAAGGAACCATTGCTAGTTGAATCTCCTCTTTCACTATTATCAATTATTTCACCCAGCTCAGCCTAGAAACAGACTCCCCAAAGCAGGTAACTGTGCCTTGTCATCTTTAGATTCGCAAACTGCGGCGGGAACTGGATGCCTCCCAGGAGAAGGTTTCGGCATTGACCACCCAACTGACAGCCAACGTGAGTGCATCTCAGGGTGGGAGCTGCTGGGTTGGGTGGGATGGGAGGCAGCCATTTCTGCCTTCCAAGCATTGCCTCAAGGCCCCCATCTCTGAATACTTAGAAGTAGCACTGTGTAATAAAGATGGACAACAACTTAACATCATGGATGTGACTGTCAGCTTTCACACAAACTGGCTGTGTGACTTTAGGCAAGTTCTTTACCACCTGAGCCTGACTCTGCTCTTCTGTGCCCTCAGGACACAAAGGCAGCCCTTTCGCTGGCCAGCAAAATGAGATCCTGTGGCTCCTCCGAGCTAATGCGGTTTCTTTCTGAGCTTGTAAAAGCACTTTTCTCAGTAGCCGTCTCCATAGGGTCAAGGTTTTGTTTTCGTTTTTAATTTAATAGAAAATACAAATGCTTCCAACTGGAATCATGGGTGGAAATTAAATGCAGAATTGAAAAAAAAAAAATAAAAATTCAGTCATTTAAATTGAGCTTCCCCATTCCTCTGCAGTGCAGAAATACACTTTAGACATCCATGTCCTGACCCCTGGCCTTTGTCCACTGTGGAATCGAGTTGAAGCAACAGGCTTTGGTTTTGACATGTTTTTCAGGGCAAACTAAAGTCCCCCTTACCTATTTGTGCGGTCATGATCAGTGCTTGCAGTAAATTAAGTGCCAGTTTCCTTTCCCTTCTCCTTTCTGAGAATTTCATCCTCAAAGGGGTAGGGGAATGGAAAAGGAAAGAAAAGGATAAAACAATAGAACTTCAGGGCTCCACAATAAACAGCGAAGCTGCTCTATGATTATGACATACATGATTACATGTTCGGGAGACACTGCCAACCAGCATTCACTTCAACAACTGTTTTGTGTGCCAGCTGTGCCCTGGGTGCTGTGAATTCAGCCCCAAAGCAAGCACAGTACTGTCGTCTTAGCATTCAGTCTCTGGTAGAGCAGAGAGACAAAACAAACAACTGGCCCTTGGCATGATAACTATTATGGTAGAAATAAGGGGAGGTGGCTGGGGAATGTATAGGAAGAGCACCACACTCAGTGTTGGTGGGAGTTAGGAGGGAGTCAAAAAAGACTTCCCAGAGGAGGTGATATTTGATGGATGTCATGTAGGAGAGGGTTCACAGGGAGGACAGTGTTCTAACTAAAGAGAGTAATCTGTGCAAAGAAAGGGGAAAGTTCGTGATGCATTTTGAGCTGCAAGTAGCTTGGTGTATAATTAGAATCTAGAGCTTAGTGGGGAAGAAGGTGTTAAGAAAGGCAAGGATTGGATGTAAGTGTCTTTGAGCTGTTAGGATGAGATCTTGGGTTCCTCCTGACATTAGGAGAGACCTGTCCGTGGATTGTAAGCAAGCTGTAAAGTGGTGTAGCTGGTGTTTAGGAAGCGTCCTGACTGAGGCAGAGTAGAGGTCACTACCTCGACAAGCCCTACTGTGAACTATGACCCAGTGAGGGTGAAGATCAGAAGGCAGAACCTGAGGTTCTGGAAGGTGCTAAGATGCGTCTGAGACACGGCTTCCTGCCCAGGAGTTCCCAGCCCAGCCGGAGACCACAGGCCAATGTGTTAAAGTCTGTGAGAAAGCACCTGTGTGACCCTGAAACACACTGTAAAAATGGAAAGTGACATCAAAGCTTGTTTCTCTTTGACTGGGACACTGAGTCAACACTCCAAAGTAATCATTTACCTGGAGTTTTTGCCCTGGTGATTCCCAGCTTAGCTTGAATCTACTCAAGGAAACCCTTTCTCTTTAAAGTCTGCACATGAAGTACATAAAACAGGGCCTGACCTTAATTATAAGCTCAATAATTGGTAACTACCTTCATTATTATTCAGTCTCCCAAGTTCTCTTACCTTTCTGGAAATCTTTTTTTTTTCCCCCAAAACCCTAACACACTGGGCCACTGTGTGTTCTATAATACTTTATTTTCTTAACCTCTTCTATTATCAGTAACAGTATCAAAAGGACATCAAGCATTGATGTGAGAACTGAGTTCTGAGGCCTAGATCATGTTCAAAAGGTAGCAGCAGCATCAGCAGCTTGTGGGTAGATTCTTCATCTTGGTAACCAAATGTATGTATCCAAACCCAGAACTTCCCCCTGGGCCCAGTGAGCCAGGGTCTTCTGGGTACAATCTAAACACATGAAAATTGACAGAAGCCCCCTCCCAAGTGATTCTGAGCTACTGTCCTAGTTAAGAATGACAGCTGTCAGTTGCCACTCTTTTTTATGAACCAACAAGTAGCAACCAACTTGCTTGTCCATGAACTTGGGTAAATTCCCCCAGTGACCTTGCATTGCCACAGGGAGCCTTATGTTGAGCCATTTGCATGAGCTCTGCTCTCTGTTCCAGAAGAGTTGGAGTGAGATCCCTTAGATGATTCAAAAGTGTGTTTTGTTCCTCATAAAAGCCATTGAACCAGTATTGTTTTAAAGTAAATATTTGGTCTTACCACACACCACCGGGCAGTGCTAACGTGTTTTATTGTCTGCCATCTTCTGGAAGACCAAGCTGTGTTTGTTTTTCTAGGACAAACTACTCAAAGCCACCTTCTGTGGGTGTTTTTATACCACTGTGTTTGTTTTCCCTGGGAATGTGAGAATGGGGCTGATGAGGAGGCTGCTTGTGTGACTCTGAACCAGGCTCCGCACGGTCTCTGCGGCCTGTATTTTCACAGTTGCCCTCAGGACACAAAGGCAGCCCTTTCGCTGGCCAGCAAAATGAGATCCTGTGGCTCCTCCGAGCTAATGCGGTTTCTCTCTGAGCTTGCAAAAGTGCTTTTCTCAGTAGCCATCTCCGTGGGGTCAAGGTTTTGTTTTAGTTTTTAATTTAATAGAAAATACAAATACCCACAACTGGAATCATGGGTGGAGATTAAATGCAGAATGGAAAAAAAATAGAAATTCAGTCATTTAAATTGAGCTTCCCCATTCCTCGGCAGTGCAAGGGTACACTTTAGACATCTATGTCCTGACCCCTGGCCTTTGTCCACTGTGGCTTTGGTTTTGACATGTTTTCCAGGGCAAACTAAAGCATGTATCTTTATTTTAAAATAAAGAGGCATTTTCTCCATTTTCAACAGAGAGGGAGTGCATTCAGAGAAAAACTATTCCATGTGACCTTTCTGTTACAAGTGGCCCTGCTTCCTGCCAACGCTTGACCTTCGCTTGGCCTTCAACCATCGAGCACCCCTGCTTGATGAAGTCTAGTAAATAGAGTGACTTTCTAGGTCCCTCCTTAGATTGAGATGGCACTAACCCTCCTCAGAGACCACCCTACCCTTAATGCCCACTCATCTCTTTCTTCCTCTAGAATTTTATAACCTGATCAAATCTCACTTCTTCCAAGATTCCTCCATGTATCTTCTGCAGGTCCCTGTTCTGGTCCCTCCTTACTCCTCTGTGTGTCTGCTCCCTAACCCTACACCTGTGTTCAGGTGACACATCTCCTCTCGTAGTTTCTTCTTTCATTTCCTCATTTCCAAACCTCTTTCTTTGCCCACAGTGCTTATTCATCTCTATGTTTTGCAATTCCTCAACAGTTTGTAGACCACTTTCACCTGTCTTATTTCATGTGGTGCTCAAAATAACCCTGGGAAGAAAATAGATGTTATTTATAGATGAGAAAATTGAGGCCATTAGGATTAGACGATTTGCTTAGCATTATGGGTAATCAAAAGGCATGAGAGGGAACACCAAAGACCTCTCGCTCTAAATCCCGTTCCTTCCCCTGGGCCACATGGGCACCTTCACCTGAGTGCTTTTTTTTTCAGTCTTTTATTTGCCCACGCAACACATTTGTCTTGTGGCAGCTTTGTGCCATCAGGGACGCAGGGAAGAAGAAAACAGACCTGGTGTCACCCCCTATCAAGCGTCTGGTCTGACAATCCATCTCTTCTGCTGCCCAAATGCCTCTAACCAGAAGACCGCCACTATTTCATTTATACAAATAAAGTTTGGAAGTTGGACAGTCCTGGTGAACTAATGGATTCTTAATTTGATTACTAGAAATTCCTTAACATGACTGAAAATGCATCCACTCTTCATTCTTGGTTTTAATGATGTTAACAGGATCCCCATTCAACCAGCTTTTCAACTACTTACTAATTTGCATCCCAGGCAGGAGGTTTAGTACTGAGAGGCAAAGTCACCTCTTAACCTTAAAGGGGGACTTACAGAGAAGGGGACATGCAGGAAAATGCCATAGTTCTCAACTCCAGGATCCATGGGTCCCCCCTACAGACACACACATTGTTAACATCTCTGAAAATTGGATGCATGTTTTAATTGTAATTGGCTACATTTTTTAAAATGTCCTAGTGATATGTAAAGTCATAGCATATCTGATGTTGTTTTCTAACAGAAGTCTATGAAAGTGCGTGGGAGCCTGTGGGAAAGTCATAACCCCTGGGGGAAACTAGGAGAGGTTTCTCCAGGGAGGTAGCAGATGGGCCATTCAGTGGCTTTTTATTAACCAGGATTATAACAAGCAAAATATGCCAACCATTTGTTTATTCTACATACATGCTTCCTATGAGTTTGGCACTTGCTGAACAAAATGGAAAGTGATTATCCTATAATACAGAATGAAGTCTTAGAGAATGCAGACACACAGCAGCTGTCACAAGACCCCATGGTTTTTGTTTGATTTTCTTTTTTTCAGTACTGGGGATGGAATGCAGGGCCTCGTGCATGCTAGGCAGGTGCTCTACTACTGAGCTACATCCCCAGACCAAGACCACATGTATTTGAACTACAATTTCACAAAGCTTATGCCAGAAGGCCAGTGGCTTGTGAGAGTAAATATGAGGGAAACTACCTAGTCTGAAGTTGTCACAGGCATGACATGAGACCTTTTGACAGACACATCAAAATTAGGCAAGGAGGGGGCAGGAAGAACATTCTGGGCAGGAGGGAATGGAGGCACAGCAGCCTGAAGTGGGAAGAAGCACAGGATTTTGAGCAAATGAAAGGTAGAGTAACTGATTCCAAAGAGTGGTGGGGAGTAAGAAGAATGGGAGATAAGGGTGGGATCAGGTCAAGTGGCCCTAGTAAGACTTTTGACCTGAAGACCTGGCGCCTCTTGGGCATTCTTGCCCAGCAGGGTTACCTAGCTGAGGTTGTGTCTTTCTCCTCCAGGCTCACCTCGTGGCAGCCTTTGAACAGAGTCTTGGAAACATGACCATCAGGCTCCAGAGTCTAACCATGACAGCTGAGCAGAAGGTAAGACAGGCTGCCTTTTGTTCCCTGCAATAAACCTAAAACCAGTCTGTTTAATTTCAGACAATTACTCTCTTTAATTTCAGATAATTACATAGATTGGAATATACTTCTTGAACAAGAGAATTTAAATATCAAATAACCAGGCATGGTGGCACATGCCTATCATGAGGTGGAAGCAGGGGGATCACAAGTTCAAGGTCGGCCTTAGCAACTTAGGGAGACCCTGTCTCAAAATAAAAAATAAAAAGGGCTAGGGGATGTAGATCAGTGGTAAAGCACCACGGGGTTCTGTCACCAGAATGAAAGAAAGAAAGGGGCAGGAAAAGGGAGGAAGAAAAATAGGAAGAAAGAGGGGACAAGTCGAAGGTAAATCTGTTGAGTAAAAATATCTTAGATCAGTGATGATAAAGGTATCAAGGACAGATCTCAGGGTCCCATGCCCACTCCTTTTATGTATTCCTCTCTGGTCACTGAAAATTGATCCAGATTCATGTAGCATACGAAGGTTCTGCTGAGCTCCTGTGTTTCCTACCCTGCTCTTTGGAAACCAGGTTATACTTCCCTTGAGCTCTGTAGAAAGTGATTTTAGGATGACCCATACATCTTTCTCGTCCTCAGGATTCAGAACTGAATGAGTTAAGAAAAACCATCGAGCTGCTCAAGAAACAGAATGCAGCTGCCCAGGCTGCCATTAATGGAGTAATTAACACTCCAGAGCTCAACTGCAAAGGTAAAGTGAGAAAGAACATTTAGAGAAATGACCCGCCCACCCTTGGCAGCGTCCCCTTGACAGCACTGACACAACCCCCCCTGCTGGAGGTGGCTGGCTTGGAGTCCAGCTCTGTGTCTGCCAGGCAGGCCCAGGAGGCAAGCACCTTGCATCTGGTTGCTTCTGGCTTCTCAAAAGACTGCTAGCATAGCTTATCCTCTTCTCTGATGTATCTCAAAAAAGGAAGAAAATAGCTTTGTGCTGGTTGAGTGTCTAAGTGTTTTTATAACCCTTAACTCCACTCATGCTTCCATGTTTCCATGTTGACATGCGAGAAACCAAAATGGGTTCCTCTTTTACTTGTCCCAGAAAACTCTCCAGATAAATTATTTTGGTTGCATCTTAGTTGGGGGTTTAAAAAAAAATGAACATGCAGGTGAGTTACCTCCTATAATCTTAGTACCAACAGTAACCATGCTGGGGGTAGTGTTGATAGCTAGCACCTGTGGAGTATGTCAACTGTATTCTGAGCCCTGTGCTAAAAGTGTTTTCATTATTCTATTCATTATTTTGCTTTATTTTGCATAATGACCTTATCAGTGTCATGATGGTCCTTTCCTCATTCTGTTGAGGGGAGTACAGAGTTTGAGAGACAGCAGTGACTTTCTGAGGTCAGAGAGTGGGTAACAGAAGTGGGGCTGGAACCTGCATCTGAATAAAAGCTGGTTCTTTTAAGGACAAGGCTTTGGATACAGTTCTGTCCTCACAAAGAAAGCAGCTGTGTGGTTTGAGGAATCGCTATTACATTCAGTATCCCTGTTCGCTTGGATATTGGGCCTCCTAAATGAAGTGATAGTAGAGTTGAAATGGGAAGGGTTAGCAAGAGTTGGCCAAACAGAGTTGAAGGAAAGGAGAGCTGCAGAAGGAGGGCATGTGGAAGGCCCCTGAGCTGAGGTGGGCTTGGCACTTCCAAGGGGCGGAGCGGGGCAAGTGTAAAAAGAGCATAGAAAGCCAGCGAGCAGTGGGGCTGTGGCTCAGTGGTAGGGTACTTGCCTAGCGTGCACAAGGCCTGGAATTCAATCCCCAGTACTGCAGAATAAATAAATAATGAAGCAAAGAGGCAGAGACAGCTAGCAGCAAAGGTGACTGCTGCTGCAATTCAAACAGTATTTTCCGGCCCATCTGTGGATTTAAAGAGATGGCATCAGGGACATTCTCCCTGAGGCTACTTTGACTTCTGTTTTGAAAGTGGGAAGATAGACCCAGTTTAATTGACCAAAGAGGGCATAGCAACCATCTGCTCAAGGAACCCAACAGTGAGAACAGAGGAGATGTCTCAGGACCTGGCAGTCCCGAGTGTATGGATTTCAGATCGAGGGCCACGCTCAGGGACCAAAGATTGGGCTCAAGTCATCAGGTGCTGACATGCCCTGCCTTGCTCTCCAGGAAATGGCACCTCCCAGCCCACAGACCTCCGCATCCGCAGGCAGCACTCCTCTGACAGCGTCTCCAGCATCAACAGTGCCACCAGCCACTCTAGTGTGGGCAGCAACATAGAGAGTGACTCAAAGAAAAAGAAGAGAAAGAATTGGGTGAGTGTACATCCACAGAGGCTCCTGGGGACTAACCAACAGAGTCCATCACAGAGCCAGTGTCCCCCAGATAAAGCCCAGGCTGACTCACCCTCAGAACCATAGGCCTTTGGGAGTAGATCCAAGGAAACAAGTCTTTATAAAAGTCATTGTTGTACACAACAAAGCCCTAGCATTTATAAAATCACCACCACCTTATGGTTTTTCTCTTTCATGAAACTTTATGTGGTGTACTCATCTTTCATTTTATATATGTGTCATTTCTTCTCATTCTATGTTGGCCACAGAGAGCAAAGTTACTCTTAAGTGGCTTCTTCTTAGTTTCAAAGTATTTTTTTGATCCTATACAAATAGTTAAATATTCTTAATCATATTCTTTATTTGTTTATTTGTATAGTTGCCTAGAATGGCATAAAACCAACCTTCTCTTTTAAAAAATTTTGACCATGATCTATACATAAAAGTTTCATAAGATCCACATCAGGAGTTGGAGAGCAGTTCTAAGCTAGAGGTTACACCTCAGGATGGCAAGTTTAATAGGTCTGTCCCCCCTGCAGTGTTTCTTTATAAGTTCATAATCCCAATGAGTTACTTGATTTTCCATACTATGCTTTTTAAAATAGTTTTCCCTACATTCCTGGGGAATTTTACCCGCCTTTCCCTCATCCAATTTGGAGTCCTGCTATGAGGCTTCAAAGCACTGGGTGACATTTGCTACTCCCTGTCTTCAGTGCAGGACCACCCCAGGTGGATCTGAAATTGGCCCCTTTTGTCAATGCTGACAGCATCCTGTGTCCATGGTGGCTTTGGTGTCCTCATTCATTCCATACACTTCTTGCTCATTTTGTGTTATCTTGGATGGGTGGCGAGGTCTAGTGATGGAGAAGTTGGGGATTTAGTCATTTTGGTATGGATCACTTGCCTTTGAGGCAAGGTAAAGGTCTAGCTCAGTGTGGCCTTCTCATTATTCTGAATAATTTTTTAAAGTTATTAATAGCTTTTAGTCATTTGCTATGACTAAACAGATAGAATTAACTCCTTGCCATCTCTAATATGCCATTGATAAATATAATATTAGATTATCAAAATAATAAGAAGGGATTATTTTCTATGAAAAATAGTTGTTCCCTATTTTCTTCAAAACAAGAAACAAAATTCTGTTTATGTTACATTAAAGAAAACTCTTGGACAGTGAAATCAGGTGGACCCATGATTGGCATTGTCACCTTATCCCAAAATTTTAATTCTGTCTAATCTTGGTAATCTCCTCTTCCATCTGGCATTTTATCAGAGGTAGAGATAAGGGTTTAGTTTGTTGGCTTGTGTGCCAAGTGCATCTTTTTCTCTCTAGAAATACCAGAAGTAGAATATGAGAAAGCAATGGGATTTTGCTTACCCATAAGCTGGACGTGCAGTTTGTTAGAGATGAAGCACAATGATGGGAGAAAAACTTCATCAATTTGCCAAATGGCCTATTTTCTGAATTTCTCAATAGCTAAGAAAAACACTGGAATATATTTTCAGTAAGAAAAAAGAAAATTATTTTTTAAAAGACTTTTCTTCAAAACAGAATTTCTTTCTTTTTTTTTGGCTTAGAAAAATACATGCTACCCATGGCTTTCAGAGAATTACACTTAACTCTTTATATTCTCAAAGTTTCAGGCTCATCCCCATGGTTTGGGGAAATTATGCCAGTTCCTTTTGTCCAATATGGTTAACAGATTTCTAAATTAATTTCCACTTCTTGAGTGATGAGTGAGATGGAGAGTTCCCTCTTGCTTGTGTCTTGTGAAAGGATTGCAGGAGCTCCCCAGATAGAGCCAAGAGCCATACGACCATGTAGGGCCAGTGACACCATAAAGATGCCTTTGCTCAGAAAAAGGACATGTCCCCTTCCACCAAATTCATTCCTGGAGAGACAACTTATAAGAGGCAGGCAAGGGACAACAAGCACAGAAAGGTGGGAGCCACCATTTCAACCAGACAGGGAGAAGCTGGAAGAGCCCAGATTATGGGGTACACCCCAACTCACTCTTCCTTTCTTTTCTTAATGGAGGAAGATGTCCCCAGTGCCACTGAAGGTTCACATTCCTACTGGAAACCTCATGTGTGTGTGGTGTTTATTATTAGCCATGTTGTGTCTGAAAAGTCCAAAGCTTTCCCTGTCACTGGCTTTCTCTGTTAAAAATTGTCTTTTTTCCTTCCCCTTCCCCATTTTTGCTTGCGTTTTCTCTGGCAGGTCAATGAGGTAAGCAAGACCAACTTTAATATCAGATACCAAGCTAACCCATCCATTGATATGACTAACCTCATCCGCATCCGTCTCCGTGTCTGAGCATCCTGCTTTGTTGCTGTGCAGCCTCATCCTGCCCACACCCCTCTGCTGAGCCAGGCACTATCTTGCTGTTGGTGTCTAGTCTTGAGCCAAGAGTAGGCATGGAATGTTCCCACAGGTCCAGTCCTCTGAGCTGTCAACACCAGATAACTCTTCTTCCCTTAATGCACTGATTCGAGAGAGCTGTGGGGAGCCTTTTCCATCGGTGGGGGAAGAAGTGGGAGAATGAAGTATTCTGTTGTATGCATGTCTCTGTTTAGCCAAGGCCTGAGCATTGGCTGTGGCTCCCGAAAAGCTGACAGTCTTGTTTGTTCAGTTACGCAGCTCCTTCAAGCAAGCTTTTGGGAAGAAGAAGTCTCCCAAGTCAGCGTCCTCTCACTCGGACATTGAGGAGATGACAGATTCTTCTTTGCCTTCCTCACCAAAGTTGCCCCATAATGGATCCACGGGCTCCACTCCTCTGCTGAGGAATTCTCACTCCAACTCTCTGTGAGTATCTCCTCTGGGGCCACCCTGAGAGCCCTCTTAGACGATAGACAAGACTGGGGAGTCTTGTTACGATTCACCTGCCCCTTGGGCTCCTCTGTGCTCTGACAGGACTTTGAGTGTTCTTCCAGTGTTTGAGGACCATGGAGGCTGAAAGAGGAGGAAACTGAGGCTTTAGTTATGGTGGTATCAGTGCCCATAATTAATAGCCAGTCTTAAGCAAGCTGCTCGCTTCTCCTGTCTCCATTTCTTTGTACGCTAAATTCAGATAGTGACTGTTATCTACTTATCCTGCCTTATGGATTGAACAAGATTAATGGACATAAAAGAGCTAGAACCATGTTGTTATGAGGGAAAGATGGTGTTCTGAGTATTGCCAGTTTTTGCTGAATTCTGGTTCATTTGGGTGATGAGACTTATACATTTCTTCTTTGATCAAATTTGTTGTTAACTCTTTCTGGAGGTAACAACTCAGAAACTGGATGTTTAAAAAAACGGAGAATTCAATGATAGTTCTCTTTATCAAAGGATGCTATATTACAGAAAATCATTCATGACCCCTAGCAGATTTAACATGACATGAGGCAGTTTGTCCATCTTTCTTTAGGGACACAGCTGGGTTTTTTCAGGTATTTAGGTGCTGATCCCTGTGTCGACTGGTTACACAGAGAAGAGTCATTAGCCCTCCTCCCATGGTTCCCACGATGCACTCGCCTTCTTTTCCTGCATCTGGGTATAGGGAGGCAGCCCCATCAAGGCCCAGCCTCCACTGTTATAACAGTTTTGTTCTAAAACAAAGTTCCTTCTGTTTCACCCTCTCTCCTATGGGATGGAGGTGGACATTAAACAGAGAATCCTGAGTAAACTAGAACAGTCAGATCGTACTAAGGGTTAACATTGAGAATGAAAACAGTGCTGGGATGCAGAGTACCTTGGCAGCAACTTTAGATGGTGGTCAGGAAAGGCCCCACTGAGGAGGTGACATTTTAGCTGAGATCTTTATAGCAGGAGGAACCACTGGTTAGTTCTGGTCAGTAACACTAGCTGCTATAACAAACCCCATCCCAAAACTCTGTGGCTTTTCTTAACACTATTCATTTCTGGCTCACTCCAAACCCAATGCAGACATTCCTAGTCAGCAGGCAGTGTGCCCTGCTGGAGTCCTCGGCTCAGTACTGTGTCCAGCCCACTAGGGTGGAAGAGAGGAAGAGTGCGGAAGATCCTACAGGGGAGTTGGATGGGCATCAGCCTGGAAGAGGTGCATGTCCTCAGTCCTACAGTCCACTGACCAGGGCTCAGGGCTGTACCACCTGCAGAGGAAGAAAAGAAGGAAATGGGTGCTGGTGAACACAGATGGGCCTTCCTAAGAAATAAATAGCACAGGAAATCTAATGTGGAAGCAAGCTGGATGAGTCTGAGAAAAAGGGATGGCCAGTGTGGCCACCACAGCATGGTCAAGGGACAGAGTAATAGGAAAAGAGGCCTCAGAGGTAGGCAGGGCCTGTGACATGGAAGGCTCTGAAGTCCAAGTGAAGTTGACCTGATTTTGTGTACAATGGGCAAATTTGGAGAGTTTTAGGGAGAAAGGTGAGATTATCTGAATCAGTGTTCTATGGGTAAGGAATGTCCAGGAACAAGGAAGATCATTGGTTCACACTACTCTGGCCATAACACTTCCTACCTTAAGGCTTTGCCGTCACTGTGCCCCCTACCTGGTATGCTATTCCTCTTGATAGTCACTTCCTCAGGTCTCTGCTGTGTATCTGCAAGGCTTGGCCTGCCAGACATGGTGGTGCACACCTATAATCCCTGCATCTCAGGAGGCTGAGGCAGGAGGGTTGCAAGTTCAAGAATAGCCAAAGCAATTTAGCAAGACCATATCTCAAATTTTAAAATTAAACAAAAAGGGCTAGGGAAGTAGCTGAGTTGTAGAACACCCCTGGGTTCTGTCCCCAGTACAAAAACAACATCCCCCACCAGCACACCCTGTCATCCCCTTTCCCCTGCTTCATTTTTCACCATTGCACATATTGTCATCTGATGTATGGACTTCATTGGTTTCAGGTTTTTGCCTTTTGTTCCTCACCTTACCCCCAAATCTACAATATAACCTCTGTGGAGGTAGCTACTCTGTTGGCTTTGCAGGTATTCAAATATTTGGTGGAGTGAATGAGTGACTGTGATAGTGATGAGTCTTTGATGTATTTAGGTCTGAAAGAAAAATTGACAGCACGGGTGATGGTCAGATGTGATGTGTGAGGGAAAGAGAATAATTATCCTTGGATATTCCTAGGATGGCAGCTTATGTACCTGGGACGGGTAGGAAACCCAGATGGGGGTGAAGAGGGACTCAGGAGCTGTGATTTGGCTGTGTTAACTGAGAGATGCCCAGGAGACACTCACATGGAGGATCCAGCCTGCCTGGAGTTCCTGGGGGTGTAGATTCAGGAGCCACGAGCTCCCGGTGGGAATGAAGGCTGGGGCACTGGAGTTCTCCAAGGGCTTGAATGGAGATGAAGAAGAGCAGAGAGGCAAGGACTGAGCTCTGGGGCACAACTGATGTTTGAAGTTAAGGAAGAGAAAGTAGAGCATCTAGTGAGGTGGGAGGAAACCCAGAAGTAGAGAGAAGAAACTGCTTAGAAGCCCAGAAGCAGGAGAAACTTGGCCACTTGCTGCTGGGAGGCCAAATCAGAGAGTGATAGTGATGAAGTCAGCCGTATGGACCAAGAGCAAGAGCACTTCTTCCAGACCACTGTCCCCTTAGAGATGGGGCAGAGCTGCTCTTTCCTCCCCTCCCCTCCCCTCCCCTTCTCTTCTCTTCTCTTCTCTTCTCTTCTCTTCTCTCTCTCTCTCTCTCTCTCTCTCTCTCTTTCTTTCTTTCAGTTTTTTAAAAATACATTCCACAGTCTCCATGGATAGAGATGTTTGGTTTTGGTCTAGTTTTTCCAAAGGGTGGGCTGAGAGAAAACGCTTATTTCCAACCTTGAAAGGTTTGTAAGAATGTGCAGATCGAGATGTGAGAGGGAGTTCAAAGAAGAAACCAAAGGCAGAGGAGTTGGGCCTCACCCCGTGGGCGAAAGGAATGGCAGCTGGAAGAAGGCAATGTTTCCCACACTTGGGCGTTTAAAATTAGGTATGCCACCAGCCCTGCCTTTGAATGAAATAGAGGGAATCTGCCAGAATAATGGGTTAGAGACTGAAAAAGCCTCCACCAGGTTGATTGAGTAAGTGGTCCACAAAGTGGACAAGGATGTATTCGGAGCCACTGGGTGAAATTCAGGAGCATGCATTGTAGAGTTAAGAGGACCTATTGAGTTTGATCCTGACTCTGTTACCCTTAGTGTGACCTTGGACATGTTAATCTCTATGGCTTACCCTCCCCATTTTCAAAATGGATGTTATTTTAGAACCTCTTCATGGAATTAGTAATATATGAAGTGAATGAAACAGTATCAGACACTAGAGAAACTGGAGTCCCACAGGAGCCAGTAGCCAAGTACAGAGTAAGCTAGTTGGGGAAGGAACCAAGGGAGAAGGGAGACAGTCTCAGACAGTAGGGATAGGCACTAAAACCTGGTTGCGGCTGGTGCAGAGGAACTTGTTTTCAACAGCAACTGTATCATGAGACATCCTCTCCCACGGCCCCAGCATTGTGTGCTTCTGAAAGCTGGCTGATTTTGGAGAAACCTTGTGCTCCCAACACAAGTTTTCTTCATTTTAGTTTGCTTCCCTTTTGTCTTAAGACTATTTCCTGTCACTAAAACAGGTATTACATCACTGGGTAATGTATAAGGAGTAGGAGTTTCTTCAACTCACAATCCTTGCACGTGGTGCTGGCTACTGCTCAGCATCTTGTGGGTCACGGCAGGGCGGAAGGCATCTGGTGCAGTGACGCAAGCCCACTCACTTGGTCTCTCTTCCTTCTCATAAAGCCATGAATGCCATCGCTAGGCCTCATTCTTGTGACCCCATGGAACACCAATGACCTCCCAAAGCCCTACCTCCAGATCTCATTAATATATAATTTTGGGGGGTTTTGACGCAAACGGGTACCCAGACCTATGGCTCCCTTATGAAGTCATTGATTGGCTAAGCTTTGCAAAGTAACCCATGTGACATAATCCACAAAGCGGGTGCCGAGGAAATGTCATCTTTCTTGCTGAGAGAGCTTTCTGGGGAAAAAGTACAGATGACATGGAGGAGGCTCGAGGGGAACCTGGCTGTGGAGTGCTGGGGGTACCCATCTGACACAATGAAAGCCAGCACAGACTGTTCTCCACCATGAAGTGGAGACCTCAGTATGAGTGCAGGGCATGGTTTGGCCAAGACCAGAGTATCACAGTGGAATTTTTTTCAGACTTGACTGTGTTTAAACCATGAAACTATGGTCCTCTCAAGAAATAACCAGTTTTTATAAGCTTCCCCTGCAAACCTGCTTAACCAAAAAGCAAAAAGTTCCACTTGAAAACCACAGACTATTCAAAGCTCGGAGAGCTGGGTGGAAGGGATGATCTGAATTCTAAAGGCATTTCTGTCTCTCCAACCCTTTTAGCCCCCAATCTGTTTGCTTTAAGTTTCTCATAGATATGGAATGACACTAATAACATTTTTACAAGTTCCTTGCATTTTTTCAAGATTTAGAAGCCAAGAAGCTTCCTTGGTTGCTAACTTTTAAAACCAAGAGGTGGTTTTACTTTCTTTACCTCTCTCAAATCAAAACAGTTTAGGTGCAGGTCAAGAAAACAGCACCAGAATGGTTCAGTTCAAGTGTTAAATTTTTCTTCTGGCTCCTTCTGTGCCCCAAAATACAATGACATCTCTTTTAAAAGTTTTATAAATAATTTTCCTGGGGTGATTAAAATTTCCACCCCTTCAACCAGTTTTACAGGTTAGGTTTTGTTGGGCCCCAAATCCAGCACTCGGGTCTTGGCGAGCAGGCTCACAAGCTCAGAAGCTCCCTGCCACAGAACGGAGGCTGCGTGTTCCCTCTCCCTTCCCTTTTCACACACAGCCAGCTTCAGCTCTGTAGCTTTTTGAACTTGGGGAGGGTGTTGATAGTCCCCACCCCGCCCCATCTTCAATTCAAAAAGTGTCAAAGCTTTCTGTCCTGGATCACTCAGTACCCCAGATCCTAGGATGTTTGGAATTCATGGAACTTTTTTTTTTTTTCTGTTTTAATAAAACTCTTTTCTGAACATTGCAAGTCATCACAACTTTTATGGTCTCCTGCTTTGTACAAACCTGCCAGGAATCTGAAGACAAACCTAACCAAATAAGCAGTCCAGCCTAGCCTTTTTTAAAGAAAAAGGCTCTCAGCAGTGTCCCACAGTCACTTTAACTTGATATATATCCAGGACTGGAAGATAACTAGTCACGCTGTTGCTTGGCTTTCAGATAGAAAGTCCCCGCGTCCACTCTAGTCACTAATTCCCTGAAGCTGATCTTTTGCCTGAAGCATGTGGGGGTGATGGAGGTTGATCTCTCTAGACATATGTCCAGGAGTGAGCTTTTAGAATGAGATAAGATGAGCTTCTTCCCATATCTTTAGGTTTCTTCCTCTTTTTTGGCCAATAAAAATAACCCCTCGGCTGTTTAACCTTGGAGTTCTCTCATCTTGAAAACAGATAGTTGGCCTCAATTCTCTGAGTTTAGAATTCAGAGGCTGCATGGTGTCTTTATGGGGTCCCAGCCATGTATACACTGGGGAGTGTTCAAATGCCCAGGGTTGCTATTCCCTTTACTAGCTCCTGCTTATGCCTCAGTTATTGGGATTTTTGCTGACAGGTGCACCCGAGCCATTCTGATTGCCAGAGCTCTGCAAAGGAATATTGTAGAAAGTAATAAAATCTGTAAATTTTAGGTGCTTTTGGTATTGTCACCTCTAAGAAGCACCAGGAAGGTGGTCGTGCAGAGTTACTACTGAACAAACTCGATGATTGATGTGGGCCACTGGTCAGTAGGGGACTAAAAGGAGCTGGATTCAGAACTGCTTCTGTTAGTGACATTCCCCCTTTCTCTAGAATTTCGGAGTGCATGGATAGTGAAGCCGAGACGGTCATGCAGCTCCGAAATGAGCTGAGAGACAAGGAGATGAAGCTGACGGACATCCGCCTAGAAGCGCTCAGCTCTGCCCACCAGCTCGACCAGCTCCGGGAGGCCATGAACAGGATGCAGGTGAGAGTCCAGAAGGGTGGACTGGGCCCAGGGTTGACTAGGAAGGAGCTCCAGGAGGCTGCTCTCTGCCAAGCCCTGAGGGCTACATCGGAATCTGGTGGCCACCCTCTGCTTTCCTAGCCCCTTTCTCTTTTCAGTCACTTACACATATTGCTCAGTTTTATTAAATAAATAAGAATAAGAACAATCATTCCCCTCATTGCAGAAGAATTTCAGTAGCTCTCCTGCTGCCTCTTGCAGTCTCCTTTGGGACTTAAGGCCTTCTATGGAGCCCTTTTTACTCTTAACCCACACACTCCCCATTTCACTTTTCATCCTCCGCTCAAAGGCCAGATGGAGCCATGAATGGTTTCCTCAGCAAACCCTGGGAGTTTCTGTTCCACACCATTCCCTCCACTAGGAATATCCTTCTACGCATCCCAATGGAACCCTTCCTCCAAGGTTCAGCCTATCAGGTCCTACAGCTGGAAGTTAGTGCCCTCCCGGATACAGTGTAGGTTGGTTCTTGCAGGCATTCCCATCATCTGCCAAGGTAGAAAGACATTTGGATCTTTGTTTTTGTAAAGTAGTTATGAAACGAAAGATTCCTGTGGGTATGCTGAATGGAACCTCACTGGAGAGCAGCATTTCCCAAAGTTGGTTCCCTGAAACATTTGTTCCATGAGAAGCTCTATGAAAGAATAATGCCCTAATCAAGTGTGTTGGGAAATGCTGCACGTCATGTGCCCTTCTCAGACTCATAAAGCACAGCAGCTCATTAAAGACCTTGAAAAAGTCCCACAGTAAAGAAACCTGTGAAACCCAGAGTGACCCAAACCTCTTAGATGACAATTCTTTTTCACTGAACACCCAAGCAGCAGACTGTGGGAAAGTCAAGTTTCTGAGTGCTTCTTCTCAAAGACCAGTTCTCTGCAATGATGGAGCCTGCCCTGCCAGATACATTGTATGTATATAGTGAAGGGTGGCATTACCTGAGGGTGTTACCTACCTTGTCTAGGCTCTCCACTGGGTTCCTGCAGGAACTTCCAGCTCCTTTTTCTAGAAAAGGCTTGTTCTCATGGCATCCTCCTAATGAGTGCACTTCTCCCTTACTCTTCACAGAGTGAAATAGAGAAGCTGAAAGCTGAGAACGACCGGCTGAAGTCGGAGTCTCAAGGCAGTGGCTGTAGCCGGGCCCCCTCCCAGGTGTCCATCTCGGCCTCCCCAAGGCAGTCCATGGGCCTCTCCCAGCACAGCCTGAGCCTCACTGAGTCAACCAGCCTGGGTGAGTGGCTCTCAGGGCTGGGGGCAGGCCTGGACCTGCAGCTGGCGCTCTGGTCTCCAAGCAGGTGCCCCAAGATAAGCAAGTCAACAGATCAAATGAAGAGGCAACAGGCGTGTGTGCACTTGGGGTGTGTGTGTCTGGGTGTGCGTCTGCTACCAACATGAACCCAGCCATTAGAGTGCTCTCATGCTTTGCTCCAGCGCCCCCAATTGTTCCAGCCATGAGCTCAGACCCCCTTGCCCACCATGCTGAGCTGTTTGATTCATTTTAAGAGGCTGAGTGCTACAGGCGCACCCCACAGCAGCAGGCCCCAGTGGGGTGATGGCTTGGCCCATGGTCTTCCTGCCTTCCGGATGGTTCCAGCTGGCGCATCATCAGTGAACATGACCTAGGTCCTCCTTGTGAGCATATTGAGGCTGATGCTTTTATTTTTTATCCATGATGCTGCTGCTGCTGTCGTTGTGGTTCAGTTTCTCCCCGCACCTCCATTTGGCAAGATGCACCATCAGCCTGCTGGTTCCTTGGTTGGTCCACCGCTGGTTTCTGTGGTTGCATTCTCCATTCTGCCCCCTCCCCACCCCCTCCCTCACCCTACTTCCCCTGCACCCCGACACCTGGTTTATCCCGCTGCTGTGCCAACAGGCAGCGGGGGTGTCAGGAAGCCGGCTTTGCTGTCCCCATGTGCCTAAGGCTGTTGATGTTTTCCATTCGCAGACTTGTTGCTGGATGACACTGGTGAATGCTCGGCTCGGAAGGAAGGAGGCAGGCATGTTAAGATAGTTGTCAGCTTTCAGGAGGAAATGAAGTGGAAGGAGGTTAGTTGGATCCCTTTCCCTGCTCTGCCTGTTCCTTCCCCAGGTAGAACTACCTAGCTTAGTGACTAATTGTGGAACTGTCTCACTTCCTAGCCTAAGGTGATTTGGAAATACTACTAACGCTTTTCTTAATACAGTAGTCCCCCCTTATCCATGAGGGAGACGGTCCAAGACCCCAGCTGGTGCCCGAAATGGCAGATAGTACCGAACCCTAGAGGCATTAGTTATTTTCCTAGATATACAAATCTAGGAAAAAGTTTAATGTATACGTTAGGCCCTTTAAAAGACTGACAATAACTATTATCAAAATAGAACAATTATAACAATATACTGGGTGGACCGCAAGTAACTGAAAACAGAAAGCAAGATCTCAAATAAGTGGAGACTACTGTAGCCACCACCCCAGTAGCCCCTGACCCCATGAAGGTGAGCGAATGGCACTTCCCTCCCCCATGTCTGTACTAACGAAGTGTACTAAGGACTGTCCCGCGCTGCACTTTCCTGTAATTAACTAAACATTAACATCCTCAGAAATGTCTATTCTGAGTTTAATATATTCCCAAAGCACTTCCAGTGCAACTCAGCACTTTTAGCACGTAAGGTATGGAGATAAGTTAACTGGAATCCACTGGCCAGGAACGCTAGTTTTCTCTCATCAGAGCCTGCAGACAGAGAGGCAGACAGAGAGGTAGCTGAGCGTGGAGCTGGTGGAGCATCCTGTCACTGACACTGAGTTTTCTGAGTACAGTTTCCATACTAGAGTCTACACCGTTGCCAGAGAAGTGGGTGCAGGTGAGGGCTGACAATAAGAGTTGCATATTAGTAATTAAATTCCAGTGTTGCTCTCTGAATGACCTTGGCCTGAGTGAGTGGGAAAAGGCCTCATGACTCACCATTGCAAGTCCCTTTGAATTTTTAAATTTTTACTTCTTAGCATTTCTAGCCAAAATGTTCTTCTATACAGTTTCAGACAGCTAGAGAACCCTCTGTGACCTTCTAAACAAAATATCTGCAGGCAGACTGCTTTGCCAGGGTTTCCACTTCATGGTTGGCTCACAATCCTCACTGAGTTGGATTAAGTCCTGAATTTTGGAGCTTCCAGGGGTGTTAGTATCATGTGACCTAGAAAGATACAGCAAAGAGGTCCATTTGCAGAACCCGGCTAGTGGAATTACAGTCGCCAAGAGAGAACTTCATCCTTATAGTATTCCTATAGGAATTGCAGAGAGTCCTGCAAACATAATGTCTTCTAGTGATCATCAATGGGAACAGAGAGCATTTAATTTTTCCAGTTCACAAGTCACTGTCAATAGTTATTTCCTTCTGGATCACTACGCATCAGGTGAGGTTGGCTAACCAGGGGTTATTATCCATCTTACAGCTGAGAAACCAAGACTCACACATCACTTATTTGAGGCCACAGGCAAGTGGTGAATGGGGTCAGGTCATCTCAGCAAGACTGGGGCTCTTTTCTCTGCTATTTTGCTTGACTGCCAGCTGCTCCCTCCCCTCCACCCACACCATCCCTCTCCTAACTGTTGTTGTGAGCATGTGAGATAATTAAAAACCCAACAGAATGGAATGTTCTATCAGTTTTTCTTTAATCAATGTGATTTGTTAGCCCCTGTGGGCATAGATGCAAAAGAAGTAGATTATTTTTTTGGCCATCTTCCCAGAGTTTGAGTTTTCTGAATTGAGCATGTTTTCCTTTTAATAAGAAAAGTAATGTTATTAAAAATCAAAAAAGAAGAAAAGAAAAAATATTTTGTCTTAAATAAGTTCTAAGATCTAGCAAGGAAACAAACTTGACTTTAAAAATAATAATAAAACAGAAATAGCTAAAATTGAATATAAGCGAGTATAGAATACGTCATTATATATGTTGTGTCCTGAACCTTTGGTGCTCTGAGCCAGGTGGTGAATTGCTGAAGGCTTCCTGGAAGAGGTGAGTTCCCAAGGTTTGAAAAGGCAGAGATGGCAGACAGGAGGTGGGAGGGGATTCTAGGCAAGGGATGTGTGATTCACTTGCTGTACAAGGTGTGCACTTAGCAGGAGGCTCCAGACTCCAGAGAGGAGATTTTTATCTTACCCATTGCAATTTTAACAGTGGAGCAGGGAAGGGTTTTGAGGCTGTTGAGTTCAATGTAAGTTATGCCTGGCATTGAAACACATAGGACTATTACTCCCCCTCTCAGACATTGGTGGAGTTATGGGGCAATCTAAGTCCTCAGCTGAACAGGGTCAGAAAAGATCCACTTGTTTTTCACCTGCCTACATTTCCTTACCCTTAGGACTCCAGACCACACCTCTTTCTTATTGGCTGCATTGGAGTTAGTGGCAAGACGAAGTGGGATGTGCTCGATGGGGTGGTTAGACGGCTGTTCAAAGTAAGTGTGGCAAGAAGGTAGCTATGGCAGTGTGCCTGGCACAGGGACCTGGGCTCGGGGAGGAAAAGGGAGGCCCCATCCTTAACTTGGCCATTTATCCAGCCTGGCCCCACTCCACATCCTTACATTGCTGGGACTTGACCCCTGGCTGTCCAGGGAATGGAAGGGCTATGGTAAGTGCAGACTGGTGGTTGGTAAAACTCTATTCATCTGCCTTTGGCAATGACTGGTCAGGTGGTGAGCATCATTTGTGCAGTGATTTGATCCTTTTATGGCAAACTGCTCATGTCTGAATTCTCTTTTTACCTGAGAATTGCCTTATTAAATATGCTCTGGAATACTTGATATGTGGCTAGGATGAGATACCATTTCCACCTGTTACTTAAAGGGGTTGGGTCTGATTTGCCCATCAGATTCCTATGCCAATGCTTCAGAGTTTTTGATTTGTGCTGCAAATGGCAGGGACATCTGATTGAAGGCCAGCTTCAAGGATGTTGGCAAGTCACTTTTTTGTTCCTGTCAATTATCACTGGACTGGGTGTTTGCCACAGGGGAAGTAGCTTTCAAGCCCTTTTTTTCTGTTGTCCTGAAGTAAATCAACAGCCATCAATATTGTGTTAGTCCTATCCCTTCAGTAGTAATATGTTGTCTGTGTCAGAAACCATGCCAAGCCCTTTATTCCCATTTAAGGTTAGAAGGGTGAGGCTTATTAGGCCAGAGCATCTTCCTAAGGCCATGGATCTAGAACTGGACCAATGGTCTAGTCAGTTGTTCTGATTTCCACATCTGACTTAATTAGTAGACCATTGTTTCTTTGTAGCATCTAGACTCAGGTGGCTTCAAACAGAGAAAATTCTGTTCTTATTTTCTTTTCCCCCATTTTTTAAATTGGTACATTATAGTTGTACATATTGATGGGCTTTATAATTACATATTTGTATATACACACAATACAACAATACAATTTGGCCAATATCACTCCCCAGCAGAGAATTCTTTTCTTTGATCAAAGATTGTCCCCCATCTTGCAAGCCAGTCTGTGGAAGTGTGATCCAGCAAGAGACATGAGTGGCTTAGGACAGGCAAATTCACCTACCCCAAACAAAACCTTACCTCTACTATAGAGTAGGCATCATCCTTGGGTAGAAAGCAGCAGTGTGGGCTCAGGAGGAAAGGTGAGTACTGGAGGCTCTTTCCTGGGACTCAGCTCAGCCATTTTGTGGCCACCCCAGCCCATGGCCTGAGTTCCACATTCACTGACCTAAATCCTATTGGTCACCTACAAGGAAACACTTCAAATTAAACACACATTCTGCTTTTCAAAACTTCATGGCTGGTTTGGTGTTTTTTTTTTCCCTAGGTTTTATTTATCCTCTTTGTTATCAGCCTGGTCTTCACACTAGGCAACTGGAGGGGTTGGTGAAGAGATTTCCTGTCAGAATTACTTTGGCATGAATTTCCCAGCACGATCACAGGCCCTGATACCTTTGAGACTTCAGCTGGACTTAGGAAGAGCAATTCAGCCTTTCTGTGCTTCGTTCCTCCAGACTAAACATTCACAGTATTGTGAGGGGTCTGATTTCTTTCCCCAACCCCTAACCAAATAAATTTGTATTTTAAGAGGCCTGTGATACGAGGGCATTGTCCCCATAGAGTCACCTCTTCTAGTTCTCATTCCACAGCCCAATTTTAACTCAGTCGTCATCTGAGAAAGAAGAGGGGATGACCGTTAAATCACCCAATGAAAGCATGAGTCACAGGCAGATTTTAGCCATCTCTGATGGGGTCTATTTTTTTTTTCTCCAGGAATACATCATTCACGTCGACCCTGTGAGCCAGCTAGGGCTGAATTCAGACAGTGTTCTCGGCTACAGCATTGGGGAAATCCAGCGGAGCAGCACTTCCGAGACCCCAGAGCTCCTTCCCTGTGGCTACCTGGTGGGAGAGAACACCACCATCTCTGTGACGGTCAAAGGTAATGGGGCCCATTGCAGAGATTGGAGTTTTCAAGAATCGCATCTGAATTTTGTGACGGTGTGAGAAATCATGGCCACGGTTTTGTTTGAGCACACGTATGTGGGTGGTTGCTCATTTCGTTCTTTTCTTCGGCCACAATTAGTCTTACCTAAGCAAGTTGAATAGTCTGGCTTTTTCAACCACCATCGGAAACAAATCATTTTAGTTTATTGCTGAAATTATATATCAAAAGATCTCATTAGCTGTATGACTCTAAGGTGATAGAATCTTAATAACCCCATTGAAGTGGCGCCTGGCCAATAGCAGTGAAGGACTCTTGCCAGCAAGCTTTGGATGTGATCCCATTCTACAGAAACCACCATGTGCCGTAGGCTGCAGGGCGGTCGCTCTGAGCATCCTGATGAACTGTGAAACTCTTGCCCACGCCTGATGCTGCTACAGCTTCCGATGCCTCATCACCCAGAGATGTTAAGCCCCAGGCCAAGTGTGTTCCATTGAACTTGGCTCCAAAGTTCTTCATGGGTTCATAAAAAATTTCACAGCCAAATAAATCTAGGAAACCTCAGTGTTATTCCCACTTGAGTTTGGGGACTGAGGGCAGAAGGACATCAGTCCATTGAAGATCTTTTAGTTAGTAAAAAGCCTGTTTAGACAGCCACAGTGGTGTACACACATAATCTCAGCTACTTAGGAGGCTGGGGCAGGTGTTTAGCCTGCAACTTGACCAAAACCCATTTCAAAATAAAAAGTCCAGCGTGTAGCTCAGTGGTATAGCATGCGTTAGTCATTTCTGTGGATGGGAAGAGAGGAAGTTTATAGTCCAATCTTTTCCAAATTTAAAACTTATTTATTTCTGTATTCCATGAACCACATAATTAGTAGACTCTGATAAGCCCTGTACAAGGCCTATCTTTCACTCGCGGCATGTCTTACTTCCCCGAAAGGCACTAATCTCTGCTGTCAATTCAACATTATAATTTTGTAGTAGTTTCATACAAGTTTTATTTTCTAGTAAGTATTTTCTCCAAAAGCACCCCAACATTCCCCACTAGCAGGAAACCAAATCCACCTCTGCTAGAGACAAGTGGTGCATTGCTGCTTAGGCCTCAATCTAGCCTCACTGGTAAGGGCAATTCCATATTGTACCTTGAACTACAAGTGACAGAAACCAACGCAAAAGTAGCTATAGCATAAAAGGGAATGTATAAATTCAGATACCTGGGAAATTCAGGGTTATGCCTCAGGCACAGCTGGATCTAGATACTCAGTGTCCTCAGGACCAGGCCTGCCTCTGCGTGGTTCATCACTGATTGCTTTTGTTTAGCTGTCTGCACATGGTTGATGAAATGGCCCCTGGTGACTTTTATTCTTCTTTCTAGCATAGGAACCTAAAGGAAAAAGACGTCTTTGGAAGTGTAACAGAAAATGTCTAGGGCTAAACTCTGGCTCTCCATAAGTTAAATATCCAACACTGAGTCAATCATTATGATAAGGGTGAAGCTTTGGTCCACCCCAGTTACAAGCCTACCCTTTTGGGGGGACAGAGGGATGAATGAACTCCACTTGAACCACCTGGAATGAGTTGAGCTCCCTATGAGAAAGATTTTTTTAAAAAAAAATTTGTGGCACTAGGACTTGAATCCAGCATCCCTGGTCCTTTTTATTCTATATTTTGAGATGGGGTTTTACCCATGTTGCTGAACCTGGAGAACCTCCTGAGTTGCTAGGATTGCAGGTATGTGCCATCATGCCTGGACTGTGAGAAAGAATTCTTGTAAAGAGAAACAAGAAGAGATGCCAGGCACACCAACACAATAACTGTCCATGACAAGAACCCTCTCAGAAGAGCCTTTCTGTCCTCAGCATCTTGTCTTTTACCCGTGCTGCCAGGCATTCTCACTTGGAGTGGTACGAGGGGAAGGGGGTGTGACTTGGCATATTCTGAAGTGAGTGTGTCTGCAAGATAGTCACTGCCTGTGTGTTTTACTGCAGAAGAACAAAACAGCAACATATATGCAGAAAGTGTTTGAGTGATATTTTCCTGTTATTATTGTTTTTTTTTTTAATTGTCACTATTATTAAATTTGGACTAAAGGCTCTACCCACACACATCGAGGTTTGAGCCAGTGTAAGCTGTCTTGAGCTCAGTAGGAGGAGGATCTTAGGCCTGTCCCTAGCAGATAGGCATTTGGGGACCTTCATCTTGGTCATTCTGGAGCAGCCGTTGCTTCAGGAGGTTACTCCTGGTTGGGGGAGGATTAGAAACGAGCATATAAACGCATTAGGGGTGTCTGCTTAGTGAGTAATTATGTGCAAGGATGATGCCATTATAAAACAAAATAAATTCCCTTCAGTTTACTTTTTCACTTACATATGCTGGTTTCCTTGGGGAATTTTTAAACAGAATCACATTAGACTCTGACTGGCTAACTTCAGGTGGATCTTTTCTTGGGGATGATATCATGAAATATTAAAGCCAACTTTCCCGGTTAATAAAGTTGTCCCAGAAAGCCAAGGGGAAAGATCAGTTCCAGCTTGTCATTGGGGATCAGGGTGCTCAGATGCAGGTTTCTGCCCAGGTAGGCTGGTATTCACATTCCAAAATCCATTGGCCCCACCTTGCATTGTTCCTTGTTTTCATGATAAAAATGCTGAGGCCTTCATGCTAAATCCATCTGTGGGTGGCAGTGGTGACAGGTAGGAGAGGGCAGCAGGGAGAGGCAACTCTAAGGATATGGCAGACACAGGTGGAGGAGACTCGGGTGTAACTTGGGCAGATAGGCCAGCAGAGCCTGGAGTCTCAGCACCGCAGAGGACAGATGACTGAGGGCCCAGATATTAAGGTCAAGTCTGAAGGTGGGAAAGTCAGCCAAGATGGGAGCCAGAAGCACAAGGTGCTATTGAACAGGGAGGTGACTTCCCAGGGCAGCAGCAGTGTCCTGTGAGCTCCTGGTACATCTGGGTGAGCAGCAGTCTCAGGTGAGTGGGCTGCCAAGGAAAGGGATCACATCAGGTCTCTGAAAGCACAGAACATTACCCTTCCTACAGGCTTCTCGTCTCTCAAATGCAGGGCTCGCAGAAAACAGCCTGGACTCCTTGGTGTTTGAGTCCCTGATCCCCAAGCCCATCCTGCAGCGCTACGTCTCCCTGCTCACAGAGCACCGGCGGATCATTCTCTCTGGCCCCAGTGGCACCGGGAAAACCTACCTGGCCAACCGGCTGTCGGAGTATGTGGTGCTTCGAGAGGGACGGGAATTGACCGACGGGGTCATCGCCACCTTTAATGTGGACCATAAGTCCAGCAAGGTGAGGAGGTCATTCTGAACCTGCTGCATTTGAGGTCCTTTCAGAACTGATGATACCACCAGCTTCCTGAGGAGGAAAGAGGGCAGAATGAGGCGGGCCAAATGGGGCTGGCAGAAGGGAAGCCTCTGACTCGGGTCCTGCCAGGCAGAGGCTCCCTGTATGGGTTGAGTCGATCCCATTCACTTCTGATCCTCAGTGCTAGCAGTTCTCAAGATTGCCCCAGATAACATACCAGGTTGGTTCACCAAGAATTTATCATGAGCCTACTATGTGATATTGTTTTTCCAAAATAAAACCTTTTGTGGGAAAACTACAGTAACACCAGTAACAATAATAAATAACTGCGCACATTTATGGACTGCTCGCCCCATGAACAGACTCTTCCTCCTCACAGTAATACCTTCAAGGGAGTGGTTGTCACTGTCCCCATGTTACAGAGGAGGGAACAGAAGCTTAAGGCAGATTCATCTTGTGCCTGAGACCACTCAGATGGTACTAAATAGTGGAACTTGAGCTCAAGTTGAAGTGCCAGGTTCTTGAGCCCTGTGGGCAGCAAATACACTCCTTCCCACTCCATAGAGAGCAATGGGAACCTGTGTGGAAGGAGTCCGACCTAATCCCAGGGAAGGGCTGTGAAGGGCTTTCTCAGACCTGTCCTTTGGTTCATGCAGTGATGGATTGCTCACTCTGGCTGCCCTGTTGCAAAAGGGCCAGAGAATCAAAGATGAATCAGAAATGGCTCCCCTGCCTTATGACCACTTGGTATGCTTAAAGACACAGAGCTCTAGACCTCATGCTTTCCTAAGTGACCAGGTTGTGCGGGCCCAGGAAATCTGGGCCTTCCCATTCTTAAGTTCCCCAAGTGATTTCAGTATAAGGACAGGACAAAAGAAAGTGAAGCCTTCTGTGTGAATTAGAGAAGGAAGGCCCTCCAGCAGGTAGCTGGGGAGCAAGCCCAGGCTGGGTTTCAGCTCTCACTTCCCCTCCCCTGGGCGGGGCCCTCTTCGTACAGAGCATGCTGCAGGGCTGAGGGCTCTGAATCTCAGAAGCCAGGAGCCCTGTTCTTGACAGGTGCCTGAGGTCAAAAACATGAGAAGAAGTGGGGCTGCAAGAACTAGTAAAATGTTGAGCTTTTTCTACTGCCAGCAAACCCCATTTAACTTGAAAGGGAGACCAGGTCTGGGTATGTGCTTGTAGGAGGTAGAAGAAAGTCACCCTGCTGAGCTAGGCCAGCATCTAGGACAGGCTATTGTGGTGGAGACACTGGGTTAGGCACCTGAGTCTGAGCCCACCCCACACCTTACCCTGGTGAAGTCTCGGGCGAGCTACCTGACTGACCTGTCTCATCACAGTACCTGTCTAATGGGGTTATTGGGCTACTGGATCTCATGTCTGCCTCAAGGGATACCAGCTATTGTGATGATAATGTTATCAGGCAGCCATTCTGGGTTCTCTAGGGCATCCTTACCTCACCATCTTCCCCTGCCAGCCTTTCCCCATCACACCAACACACTCTCTCTTCCTTTCCTGAGGCATGCCCTACCCTAGGCTCACTGGGCTGCAGTTCCGATCCCAGCAGTGCCAATGCCCCACCCCTTCTTCAGGGTTTAGTTCAAAGCCTGAGCCCTCTACAGGGCCTTCCAGGATCCCCCATGCTTGTAGATTGTCCTCCCTTGTGCTGCTCATTGGGTCAGCCATAGCACTGATCAGTATCCTCCCGTGTGTGGCTGGGCCTCTGCAGCACTGATGGACCCAAGGCTTCTGTGTGTACAGCTCTTCTGTGTGTACTTTGCTCACCCCCTGGCCACCCGGCATCCCCTGATGCCCGGTAGCAGATGGCTGCTCAGAATGTGTTCACTAGGGTGGGAGAGGGGCTTCCGCCTGCACTGGCCTGGGTAAATGAGGCCCTGAGCATGCACAGCCATTCACCAGCTTGCTTTCCTCTGCGTTCCGGATCTCTATAGGAATTGCGGCAGTACCTGTCCAACCTTGCCGATCAATGCAACAGTGAGAACAATGCTGTGGACATGCCCCTCGTCATCATCCTGGATAACCTGCATCACGTCAGCTCTCTGGGCGAGATCTTCAATGGGCTGCTCAACTGCAAGTACCACAAATGGTAAAGGCCTGTTCTGGACCCCAGCATCCCTGAGCGAGTGTGCTGCTGTCTGCAGGTGGCCCAGGCCAACATGGCAGTGAGGCGATGTGTGTACATTGGGCAGGGAGGGGAGGTAGCTAGCCCATCCATGTCCTGGATGCACAGATGCCACAGGCTCCCATGAGCCCCTCATTCTCCAGCTGGCCTAGCTCACAAGCTTTCTCTTTCTGTTTCCCCACAGCCCTTACATCATTGGCACAATGAACCAGGCTACCTCTTCTACTCCCAACCTGCAGCTGCACCATAACTTCAGGTAAGTCATTACTTCCCTTGTCCAGTTGGACGATGAAGTCACAAGGAAGGAAAGCAAGCCCACGTGAGGCAGGAGCCTTTTTTGGGTTTCTGTTATGCTGAGCATCTTGTTAAGTAGTTTCCCCAACTTAATTCATTTAATTCTTACTTTGGCCTCAAGTGTTTACATTTGTCATTCTTAGTTCACAAATGGGCAAACTGAGGCTCAGAGAATTTAATGACTCACATGAAATCATGTAGCTGGTCAGTGGCAGAGCTGAAGCTTCAACCTGGTTTGTTTCTCTGACCCTCAACCTGCTGGAGTAGTGTCCAGGAAGCAGCTGTGCAGGGGCTGTTGGCCCTTGGCCACTCCTGTGGGTTACCAGAGATGCCTCCCTTTGTCCCAAGTGAGCATTGGCAATGACAATCAAAGTTACGAATGACCCCACATAGCTGGGTCTGTGGTCCTTCACGGTCCTGCGTGAATTCCTGGTCGCTCGTCTCCCCCTCCCTGTTTGCCCCAGCACTCCTCAGACTCTCTCCCAGCCAGGGTATGGGGACTGTTTGACTCTGTATGTGGGGTTGTGTGGCTGCTTACCTCAGCATCGCTCAGCACCCTTCCCGCTGCCTGTACCTCCTCTGACTCGGCCTCACCCACCTGGGCCCTTAGATGAGGGTAAAAATTTGTCTCCTGGACTGGGACCCCCGGTTCATCTTTGAGAGAGACCTATTAAAAGTGGTCTGGACTGTAACTATCAGAAAAAATGTCAGCTACTCCAGGTCACCAAGAACAGGCTGCCCTCATTTTGTCATCCTGTCTGTGCTTTCTCTTGACTGTCCCTTGAGCCCATCCTCCCACCCACCCTAAGCCCCAGCACTGCTGCCTGTCCCAGCACAATGCTGCGGTCTCTTTCTAACCAGCATGCCTGCTGCCTGGCCCCCTGCAGGCCACCTTCTGCACCATGGCAGCCGGGGTGAGCCTTCCAGAATGCTCATCTGACCTCAGGCCTGGACTTAAAGTCTTTCAGTGGCTCCCCGTGGCCTTCAGAATGAGATCTCCTTAATAGGGCAGGTCAAGCCTAAAACCAGGCTATACTGAGCCTCTGGCAGCAATTCGGAACATCCCAGGCCTTTCCCATGCCTCTGCAAAGGCTGCCTCATGCTCCCCACCTCCCACCTTGACACCCGCTCCTGCCTTTCCTCGTGTTGCTGCCCCATCATCCCTTCTGTCCCAGCCCTTCCCTGATTCCTTGGGCTTCATCATGTCTCAGTTCTTCATTTGCTTGTCCACCTCCTCCCATCCCAGACTGCAAACTGCTGAAGGCCAGGGGCCATGTCAGAGACATTGTTAGTGCTCCATAACTTTATGCAGAGCCTGGCACCGAGCACAAGGGGCAGTCTCTCGCAGTGGCTAGAGCTCAGACTGCCTTGGTTCGGATCTTAGATCTTCTATTAACTAGCTCTTGGATCCTGGACAAGTTATATAACTCAGCTTTGCTATCTATAAAATACGCATGGCAATAATACTTATTTTGTAGGGTTGCCATTTATGGTGAATTCACATGTGCACTGTGGAGAAGTGTTCCATGGTCTTATTTTAGTATCCGTCTATACACTTCCCATTCCTAATAAGCTTTTGATCTTGGGATTGGCCATCGTTGTACTCACTCTCATCACTGTTGATCCTGATTTCCCCTAGGTGGGTGCTTTGTGCCAACCATACGGAGCCCGTGAAGGGTTTCCTTGGCCGGTTCCTGAGGAGGAAGCTCATGGAAACGGAGATCAGTGGGCGGGTGCGGAATGTGGAGCTGGTGAAAATCATTGACTGGATTCCTAAGGTCTGGCATCACCTCAACCGCTTCCTGGAGGCTCACAGCTCCTCAGACGTCACCATCGGTAGGTGGGAGGCTGGGCACAGGGTGCAAGCTGGCTGGCAGGCACTGCTCCGGGCCCTGGGGGTCCTCTGGCTCCTGGCCCGGGCAGCACTCCACAGGATGTTGGGCAACACTGTCCTTCAGGATAAGGAAGTGAGCAGAGGGGCAATTGCAGACGGAGATAGACCCCAGACCCCAGTGATCAGCAGAGGAGAACTGTGTCCTACCCAGGCTGGTGGAGAAACGGCCAGCTCAGTAAAGAGCCCCCACCCCAAGTCTTCCCAGGCTGAGACTACTCTTTGGGATTGGCTTTGCTTTACTTTTAAGTCTTAACAGCATTTCTGCAGCTTAGGGATTTAGAACAGAGGAGAGAAGACCACCAATCATCTGCCACCCCGACATCATCATCTCAATGTGAGGCTATTTCTTCTGGCCTTGTCCATGTTCACTGGGGGTGCAATCACAGTGTGCATGTAGGCTGTCCCCCCACACACACACTATTGCCATGGGCCTTCTGTGTTGCTCTTCCATCTTAAAAATTATTTTTAAAAGCTGAAAAATAATCAAATGCAGGTGTTCCATTGTTTATTCAACCATTTCTGTCTCTTGGACATGCAGTGTTCTTCCATTCTTTAAAATCAATATTAATAATACCAGAGAACATCTTCTCCATAAAGCCCCTCCTCTCCTCGTCCTTGACGGGTGCAGGAGGGAGTCAGCCAACAGCTGGTACTTCTGCCATCAGCCCAGCCAAGGCTCAAAAAACCCCGCATCTGCTCTGAGGGGTGCTTGCTCTGATATATTTTCAATGTGGTCCCCAGGCCCCCGGCTCTTCCTGTCATGCCCCATCGATGTGGACGGCTCACGGGTGTGGTTCACCGACCTGTGGAACTACTCCATTATCCCCTATCTCCTGGAAGCAGTGAGAGAAGGACTCCAGGTGAGCAGCACACCACTTTCTCCCCCTCAGAGTTGAGGAGGACTATCCTGGCGACCCGATGAGTTGGTTTTATCTTTTCCTTTAAGAATCTGACTGACATGAGGTGACCAGCCCTCACCTGTGTAGCCATAAGTCTAGCACAAGGTAGAAATGATTGGTTGTAAGTCCTGGTCCAGCCACTTACTGGCTGTGTAACCCCAGGCAAGTCATTTACCCTCTCTGTGCCTTTGTGCCCTCATCCATAGGAGAGAATGATAATAGTATTTTTGTCACAAAGAGTTTATGCAAAGATTAAATGAAATCATGGCCATAAAGTGTTCAGCATGGTTAGTGCACAAGGAGATGAATTGTACATGTATGCAGCACTTCACAGTTTGCCAAGTATTTTCATATCTGCAAGCCCTGGATTAGTACTGAGATTTTTTTTTTTTTGTCTCTGGTTGAAGGATCTGGAATTTGAGTCTATGCCTTCTGACTAAATTCCAGGCCACCTAGCTCTTAGGCCCCAAGGTACTTACTATCTGGCATCAGGATAAGGCTACAAGTCCCTCCTGCCCAGTAGCAGTTAGAAAGCACAAACTCTTTACTGCTCTCTCAGTGCAGGGCTTAAGTGGGAGCATACTATTTCATTGCAGCTTGGGGTGGTTTGTTTGCTGAGCCTAGAGGCAGCCTGAACAATTCCGGGGCTCCCAGCACCCAAAGTGAGTATTTAGCAGGGATCCGCACAGCTGACTCATCCAACAGCCAGCTCTGCCCCAGGGCATCTTTGCTTCCTAGGCACCTGGCAGGGGAGATAGAAGATACAAGACAGTGCTGCAGGCTGTGGAGGCCCGGGGAGCAGTGTGTCCCCCTATGCATGTGTGTGACAGTATAAGTTAGTAGTTCCCGCCAGTGTTTGTCCTTTGTGTACATTTGGGTAAACTTGGGGGGGGGGGGTATTCGACTGCTTTATATGAAATACCGTGTAGCAGCAGCAAAAGCTCAGAGGTACTCGGGACAAAAAGAACTTGGAGAAGAAGCTCTTGTGCTGCTTGTGACTGGTATTTGATTGAACTGGAACGCGTGTGCTGCACAGTCAAGCCACCGTGCTGAGATATAAGTACCCTGTGAAGGCAGAGAGAAGCAAGAAAGTGGGCAGGCTTTGGCCAGCCCCAATTCATTGGCTAAGTGCTCTGTCAATATTGCTTTCATAAAAGGAAGCATGACAATCTCAGATCTTTGCCATGGAATCTCCCTAGGTAGATTTGCCATCTTGGGTAGATTGGCCATAATTGAGTCTCTTATCAGATGGGTTTGTTAGTTCCACAAACCCAAACAGCCACCCCATGACTCCTATCAGTCCATGGAAATGCTTCCTGCTGACTGGGTTTCTGCAGTCTGTTTTAGAAACCTCTCTCCTCTGTTCCTGAGCAGTGGCTTCCAGGGACCGCAGTATATGTGATTCCTTGCAAAACCCAAATTGCAGCAGGGGAGGGGCAACCTCGGCTTCCGTTTCCACCTCCCCTCTAAGTTCTCCTGCTTGTTGCTTCTTTACATCCAATGTATCTTCTGAGGAGAGGAGTGACAGCAGAATCCTCTGAAGAGCTCAGCAAATTCTGTGGAATAAAGGCTTCCCTTGCCCAAGGAGGCATGAACTGCAGGGGAGCCCATCTCCACTCCAGCCTTGAGCTGCGCAACAGCAGGCCCCTTATTAGTTACCAGCAGTTGGTGATGTCAAGGCCCTTCTTTGGGCCTAAACTTAAAAGAAGGCTTTTGGGGCACGGCTGTGGAGGTGGGCTCAGGACTCCCCTTCTATTCTAGGCAAGGTTGCTAGTGGGGTATATTCTAGAGGAGCACTGGGTCTCTTTCCTACCAAAAGCAAGTGAGGCCACAGGTAGAAGGGACTTAGAGATAGCTGCAGAACTACCTGTCCAACAGCCACATCAGTGTTTATAGCAGCACAATTCTCAGTAGCTAAACTGTGGAGCCAACCTAGATGCCCTTCAGTGGATGAATGGATTAAAAAATGTGGTATAAACACAATGGAATTTTACTGAGCAATTAAAGAGAATAAAATCATGGCATTTGCAGGTAAATGGATGGCATTGGAGAAGATAATGCTAAGTGAAGTCAGCCAATTCCAAAAAAACAAATGCTGAATGTTTTCTCTGATATAAGGAGGCTGACTCATAGTGGGGTAGGGAGGGGGAACATGGGAGGAATAGATGAATTCTAGATAGGGCAGAAGGGATGGGAGGGAAAGGAAGGGAGCAGGAGATTAGCAAAGATGGTGGAATTTGATGGACATCATTATCCAAAGTACATGAATGAAGACACGAATTGGGTGTCAACCTACTTTATATACAAACAGATATGAAAAAATGTGGTATATATGTGTAATAAGAATTGTAATAGAAAAAAATAGTTCCTTGTAAGGCTGGAAAAGTCATCATTTTCTTGGGCGGTGAGGTCACATGAAGGCCAGTCCTCCAAGAGTATAAGGAGCAGTGAAGGGAGGCAGCCAGAGTTAGCAGTCTACCAGCTGCCTCAAAAGCAAGCCCCCCGCCCATGTCCTAAACCAGGGGCCTCTTTATCATGCTGAATCCAGGGTACCTTATAGAAACTGCTATTTCACAAGGGAAATTGCTGTGTTCTTTGTGCCTCTGGTTTTGAAGGAAAGCTTGCTGATATTCACGAGAGCCTGCTTATAGACAAACCAAGGCTTGCAGAAGTTCCCAAATCTCACCAAACTCACTCAGTGGGGTGTGATAGAGCAAGGACTGTCTGAATTCTTGTACACATCCTGCATGGGCGAGGGAAAGGGTTCCCATTAGGAGGGAGGGGCTGACTGAGGAATAAAAGCTAAGAAAATAGTACTAGAAAATAACCACAGGACACCAGATATATGGTTTCAGAGCTAGGGCAGCAACAGGCCAATTGACCAGAGGGATGCAGCTTCTAATGAAGAAAGGAGCGCCCGCCCTTTTATTTATGTCAGAACAGATCAAAAGGATTTGATAGAAAGTTCTTTGCAAAAACAGGATAGAGGTGGGGGCAGGTAGGCTGCTCCGTTTTTAACAGGTCATGTCCACCTCGGGTACTGTGAGGGACCTTTTTGGCAGAGCTGGGTGAGAGTTCACATGTACTAGGGTGTCCCAAAATCAGCAGGGGTGCTACTGGAAGTTCCCAGATACCAGATCTTCACACTCAGTGGTTTCCATGCCATTCTAGTCCATGCACATTTCACGGTTGGCTTCCTACACTGAATATTCTGGATATTTCCACGCTTTTTCAGGCTGTCCTGGGCATCCTGTATCTCTACCAGGAAGCTTCAGATAGCTCATGAGCAAAGTGTTATGTTTTATATAGCAGAGTTCTGTATGCAATTTTATTTGACGAAAGGATTCCATTATCTTAAAAAATAATTGTAGCAGGGCACAGTGGAGCACGCCTGTAATCCAAGTGGCTTGAGAGGCTAAGGCAAGAGAATCATGAGTTCAAAGCCAACCTCAGCAAAAGCAAGGCACTGAGCAACTCAATGAGACCCTGTCTCTAAATAAAATATAAAATAGGCCTGGGGGTATGGCTCAGTGGTCAAGTGCCTGGTACTCAGTGGTCAAGTATCCCTGGTACCCACCAAAAAATAATAATTGTAAGTTCCCCTCTTCTTGGTGTCCTCTGAGCCCATGTGTGCTGGGCATTATACAGAGTCATTTGCTCTTCATGTAACCCAGCCTCATGGCCAGGAAGTGGCTAAGGTTATAAACTGAGAGGTGGAGTCCATAGAATAGGTTCTGATGGGGTTGCCACACACTGTGAGCCAGGAAAGAGAGCTGCACATGGTGGCAGGATTAGTGGCAGTGGGGTCAGGAGGAAACTGTCCCTGCTGTAACTGGACCTCACCATCCCCTTACAGACAGCCCCACTAACAGGCACATCCATGCCAGGAGATAATGTGGTATCGCCCCCTAGTGGACACCAGTGCCCCCATGTGCTTCTAGGAGCCCTATGCATCCTACAGGGCCAGAGGAGCCCGGGTTTTACTTGACACTGTCTTAGCTCCCTGTTCCCATTCTTTCTGACCCATTGGGGATACCAGGCTCCTTCCCTGCCTTGGGGAAGGTGATTGTTCTGTCTCTCTGTCTGTCCAACTGTCTCTGCCACTGCCCTTAGGGCTCTGCAGTGGAGCGAGGAGCTTTATGATAGTTCCTTTGCTTGCCACAGTACTCATTCAGCCATTCATCACCTGGACTTGAACATGTCCAGCAGTAAGTAGGGAGGCTTATAAAAATATTTTCTTTTCTTATACAGATGATATTAGCTGCACCTAATGTGCATTTGTCTTATGACTCAGCCCCAGTCCTGTTCCCCTTTGGATCAGTCACTGGAGATACTTGCCAAAGTACTCTACAGTTTATAGAGCAACTCAAGAGACTCAGTGCCCAGGGCAGGACAGGTGCCAGAGGGACCCGTGGAGGGGCAAGCATGGGGCTGTTTGTCAATTGCCACGCCTGCTGTGAGACCCTGGGCCATTGCCTGTTTGGGGGCCTCAGCTTCCCCATCTGTCAATTGCAAGTTGAGTTAGAAGACTTTTCAGTCTGGTTTCTTTGAGGCCCAGGAGTTCCTCAGACCACTCAGTGGGGGCGGGGGGTGGTCAGGAATAAAGAGCAAATATATGAAAATTGCTGGGCCAGATGACCTCTAGGACTTCCTGATCTGTATCCTTTGAGATTCTGCAGCTTTGAGCATCTCCTCCTGTGGCCAAGGGAGAAGACAGAGCAGTAGCTATCAGAAAAGAGAGGCCAGTTTAGCCTCACACATGTGAAGTGTAGCTTGGGACAGTTCCATTAGGGAGTTCTTGGATGGAGAAATTTCTAGAAACTGCAGGATGTTTCTAATCTGGAACAGCCACCTTGGGCTGTAAATATCCCTAACTGCTTCTGTTTTCTCTTTTGTCCTGTCACGTATGTGTATGCACACGTACCCCTTCCCATAATCCCCTCCTACTCAGACTATGAATTGCCTAAAGACTAAATTCCCAAGCTTGAGACTTAACCTTGCTCCAGGTTGAGGAAGACATAGCAACAGACAGAGCACTAGACGGGAGGTGCCTACAGCACAGACATTATGTCTAGACAGCAGTGAGGTCATAGGAGGCTCTAGGTACTCTGAGTACAGAAAGAGGCAACACTAACACAGAGGTGAGCCTGTCCAAGATGGGACAGAGCTGTGGCATCTTGGACAGAAGTCTAGGGTGGCTCAAGTGATGGTGGGAGTGGGCCTTGCTAGAGGGAACCATGAGCCCTGCTCAGGCTGATGTGCTGACATCTGCTGCACAGCTCAGTCTCACTTCAGGTCTGTCTAGGCACATGGCTCTTGCTGATGCACAGGAGTTCAAAGCAGAATCAGTCAGTTGAGGTGGAAAGGGAATGACCCAGACAAGGGAACTGAGTCCCAGGTTCAGTTCCATCACCTCTCTATGACCTTCTATGATTGGCTCTGCTCTTTAGGCCCCAATTTCCCCAGATGGTAAATGGGGTGGGGCTGGGTGGCCCAGCACCTTCCAGCAAAGCAGCCTATGACTCAGTTGTGGGTTTTTGAGTTCACAGCCCAACTCTGTTCTGCTCTCAGCACCTGGCTGGCTGAGTACCTCTTTCCAACTGCACATTCAGTGACATGTTGCTAGTTTGAAATTGGCCCCCTGGTGGGAGTATTTATACCATGGAAACAGGCAAATACTGCAAATCAGGCTGTTTTTCTCCCTAGTGCCAGTTTTCCAAGTTGGACCAACAAGGCCTAGAGGTGAGAGTTGCCCAGTGAGTCAGCAGCACAGCTGAGAATAAGCACTAGTCAGACTGATTCCAATGCCTGTGCTCTTGACCACTAGGTCCTGCTACCTCAAGCTACTCACATCTTAGATAGCTTCCCTAGTTTGGAATTCTGGGAGTGGGATAATGCTGGGTGTGGGAGTTTTTTTCAGAAAGCTGTGGAATTGGGATTGCCAGTGAGGTCTCAGCCCCTGTCCAGACTGATCCTTCTTTGCCTATTTCCAGCTCTATGGAAGGCGTGCCCCCTGGGAGGATCCTGCCAAGTGGGTGATGGACACCTACCCATGGGCAGCCAGCCCACAGCAACATGAATGGCCTCCCCTGCTGCAGCTACGGCCTGAGGATGTCGGCTTTGACGGCTACTCCATGCCTCGCGAAGGGTCCACAAGCAAGCAGGTGCCCCCCAGTGATGCTGAAGGAGACCCACTGGTGCGTTTCAGCTCCCTGCAGCTCAGAATTCAGAGCATTTAGCTTATGGTGGGCGTAATTCAAAGCACCCTGGAAATGTGAAGGCAACTAGGCCTGGCCTTGCTGTAGAGGGCTGGGCCTACCCCAAGATTAGGGACAGTTTTGCCAACATTTTGTTCTATGGTTTTAGGTTTTCATTAAAGCCTTTAACCCTCCTGAAACTTTTTTAGCATAAAGTAAAATGTTAAGAGTTTGATTTCTTTCCCCCCCCACTAAATGACCCTACACCTATTGTCACTACTGTACTGTTCTCACTCTGATTTGAGATGCCACCATTATCACGTATTATCTTATTCCTCTGATGTCTCCCACTAAAAACTGAGCAGAGGAAGAGCATGCTAAGGACCCAGAAACTAAGCCAAACAATGAGGAGCCTAGACAGGGGAGGTTTGAGGACAGGAAGGATTCACAGAGGGCACAGGGGCCTGAACATGGGTCCCCTGGCTGATGAGATGATCTTTGAGCATTGTATTTACTCTTGTCATTGCTGAAGTCTTTCAGAAGTACCTAGACCAGTGATGGTAACATCTCTAAACAATTCTGTATTCTTTACCAATGTAGGGCTCATGCATGGTTTCACTGCTAAATTAGACCTAGCCAACCAAAAGCCCTTTATATCAAGGAGGAAGCAAACATATCAAAACCTCCCACAGTTAAATGACTATTGTTATGCCTAAAATTTAGCTCCAAGCTTTTCTGGCAGGAATGGCAAAAAGAAAAACACAGCAGAGATTATTACTTGCATTACCTAATGAAAGAAAATCATGAGTTACAACAGGATTAAAAGACAACTGATTCACTGTGCTGTCCTTACTGCCCATTTGACTTGCCAGATAAAATAAAAATAGTAATAATAGGGTTAGGGCCATACCTTGGTGGTAGAGTGGTTGCCTAGCATGCACAAAGATCCCAGTCCTGAAAAAACATATATATGATAATAATGATAGTTATTTGTGTTGTCTGCCATCCATGTCTACAATGTAGGGGTGATCCCATTGATTTAAACAGGAACTGTATTTAAAGGAGTCGGTGTTTGTTGTTTCTATGTATAACCTAGTTAAACAATGGCTTTCTGAAGGAAACAAGCATACTTGAACAGCCATTTGTAACGTAACCACTGCCGAAGGCCAAGGTCATAGTGGTATTTTTGAGGTGTTAAACGCCTGGCATCTTAACCAAAAAATAGGATTTAGGGTCAGAGGCAGTGGCACATACCTGTAATCCCAGCAACTCAGGAGGCTGAGGCAGGAAGATTGCAAGTATGAGGCTAGCCTTAGCAACTTAGTGAGAGCCTGTCTCAAAAGTTAAAGGGTTGGGGAGAGGCATATAGCTCAGTGGTAGAGCTCTTGCCTCGAATGTGCGAGGTGCAATCCCTCGTATATGTATATACCACCCTCCCCCCACACACACACACAAGCACTCACAATTTAGGCTATCTAGAGAAAATAATGGCTAGCCCACCCCCAGTTTTTCTTAGCTGGGGACATTTGTATCACCGACTGAACTCAGGAGGCTCCTAGGTAAGACCTGGGTTTCTCAGAACAGTCATGCAGAATCCTATCTCCAACCCCGGGACCTTGGGAGCTGTGTCAGTCCAGCCACCACCACTTACCAAAGTATAATATACCTGGTATTTCTCCCCAGTCCCATTCTTACTGCCCAGGCTGTGGGTCTCTGTGATGATAGCTTTCCTGCTTCCTCGTGCTCTCCCTCATGAGACTGAGAACTCCGTAAGCATGAACTAACTTACTTTTATTCCAGAACCAAACACCATGGTAACACCAGGAATGTTTGACAAATGAGTAGCGAATCCCAGTGCCACTAGCTGGCTGTTGTGACAGCTCCACCTCTCCTCTGGTTATAGCTCTGCAGACAGACACCAACTGATGGTGCCAGTGGCCTGGCTCCCCAGGGAAGCTGCACAGCATCCTGAGAGGGAACTGGCTTTCACCCAGCACACCTGGCCTTAACCCAGAGATGCCCTGTCTCCTAACTTACTCGCTCTATGAAGTATGGAGCACATAAATTATAGTTATAAGTAAAATAAAAGTTTCTGATTCCCCAGGGGTCAATAGAATGTAGAGCAGGGAGAATTTATGAGATAAAGCAGGGAGGATATATAAGCTCCTCCCCTTCGTTTGGGTAAAGATGCAACAGATCAAATCCGTGATCACTTGCTGCATGCCTGGCTAGCCCATTCCTAAGGGGTTCATACATGTGTCATTCCTTGCTTTGGCCCTCTGAGGTAGGTGCTGCTGTACCTGCCACAGCAGATGGATGAGGGAGGGGTGGCTCAGGCACTTTATATTATTGCCTCAAGGTTCCTGCAGCATGCTCCATGCCTCCACTATCTGAGGCTCTGCTCATAGCTGGCCTCGCCCCTGTGCCCTGCAGAGGGGTGGCTGGAGCACAGCTGGTTCCAGGCTAACTTTATCCAGAGTTCAGAATAGGCTTTCGGTCCCGTCAGAGGGAGTGGGATGGGGCATGCATTTTAGATGTCAGTGATGCTACTGTGCATTTCAAAAGCAAGGGTACTGGAATGGCATCTTGGCCCTGGCTATGTGCTATGCCTGGTAAGGCATGCCTCTCCCAAATAAAAATATATAAACGTGATCTTATAGAGGACCTTGTATTTTGTTTTCATTGCTCTGCATACTCTACATACTCAATGGGTACCATAACATTATAGAGCAGGTGCTGTTATTACACACATCTGACCAATAAAGAAATAGGCACCAAAAGGTTAAGTAACTTACCCAAGGTCATGTAGCTAGTCAGGGCAGAAGCTGGGAGTTGAACGTGGAAGCCTGGCCCAGACTCCATGCTCTTGTCCACTGCTTCTGTTGTGAACTGCAGTCAGGGTGAGTCTGGAGAAGATGGCCTGAGCTTCCAAGAGGCCGGGTGGGCAGCTGACTAGGCCAACAGCTGCTCACACCTCTCTGCTGTCTCCCCAGATGAACATGTTGATGAGGCTGCAGGAGGCAGCCAACTACTCCAGTCCACAGAGCTACGACAGTGACTCCAACAGCAACAGCCATCACGATGACATCCTGGACTCGTCCTTGGAGTCCACTCTGTGACAGGGGTCCAGCCTGGAGCCTGCTCTCCTCCTCATCCCATCCTCCTGCATCCTTCATGTCATCCTGAAGATAACTTCCTGAGCCAGCCCCCCCAGCCGCAGCTGTGAGCTGCAGAAATACTGAGACCCTTCGACCCTCAGCCTCGACCTGGGTGCAAGCATCCCAGGCCAGCCGCCTGGGATCACTTCCTTCCATGGTGAGAACTGCACTACCTTCTGTCGTACTCTAATTCTTGTTTTGCCTTGTTGCTGTGACCTCCCTAAGACACTGAAGATGCTTCTCGGGAAAGGATTGTCACCGTTGAAATGAAAAGTTTTCAGAAGAACCCACTGGAAGCTCTGAAACCAAACAGCATCCTGCCACGAGCTGCCCAGAGACAGAAGAGACTGGAACAAAGTTGGAAATATAGATAGCACGGCTTCTTCTCAGCATAGGCCCTCCAGAGTGGGTCTCGCCACCCGTGCCACAGCCGCACCCACCTGCCCTCCCATCCAGCCCGCCACAGAAGAACTAACTGGTGCTAAATGGGGCACTTACTTTGGTCACCCTCAAAACACTGCAGAGCTCTGGCATAGGGAACCCTTAGGAGAAAACGCGTGCTTTTCTGTTTTTAAATGGTGCTCTCCTTCCCTGAGAGGTATTTTGCCTGTTCCAATTCAGCCCTCCACTTTGGGTCCATCAGCCCCCGATTGTCTGCAAGAGTGAGTGAGGGAGCGAGAATGCGAACCAGCAGGTGTGGCTGTAAATGCAGAACCGCATGTGTCTGTTTCCTTTCCGATATCTAATGAATCAGGTTTGTTGGTTTTTTGTTCTGTTTTGTTTTGTTTCCTGCAAACACTGTGTATACGTGAGAATTGCTCTATTTTGGAGAATGGGCAACCCCTCTAAAATGAGGATGAATCTCTCCCTTTCCGACTCATTCCTTTTGAAGATTTTTCTCCCTCCCTCTGGGTCAGAATCAATCCTTTGGTGACAGGACAAGCCACGGGGGTTGAGTTTTGGTTGGTCCCGCTGGGTTTGGGTTTTTAGTTGTCCATCTTCACAGTTCCACACACTCCCCTCCTCCTGCTGCAGCTGGTGGTACCGTGTCCTTGAAGATGGACGAGGACCGGTCCTCCTCGTGTGGGGCGAGCCTTGGACCTTGCCTTCCCTTTTCGTCTTTGAGGGTTGAAGATGTGCTTCAACGCCTCGAGCACCCAGCCCCAGCCCAGCTGGGGTGGGGAGGTCACCTCACAGAAGACTTGCACTTTCCTCAGAACCAACTTGGTGCGGCTCAGCCAGGGCGGGACGGCCACTGCCTCCCAGGAGCCCAGCCCCAGCCGTGCCTGACCTCTCGGTGCTGCCCTTCCCAAAGTGATGCCTTACTGGGTTTGTACTAACCGAGTTCATTCACCTGAGTGTCGTGTCGTGCCTGCCTGGGGTTTTTGTTTGGTTTTGATTTCCCCATCAAAGCAAACAGGGCTATGAAGTCATGTGTTCGTTAGGAGAACTCAACTCGCTGTGACTTTTCTCATCTAAAAGACTCATCTGTGTGGATGCTTGACCATGGGAAAAAGAAAATAAAAATCATCCATTTTTTAGGTTCATTGTCAGTCTCCAGCTGACAACCTGGCTGGACGGTGCTCTGCTCCTGCAGGAAAAGGCAGGAGTTCCCACCAGTCCACACAGCGTTGCTGGCACACACCCTGAGAAACCCAGCCTGCCACCTCTTTGGCGCACTGGGATTTTCTTTGAGTGTAGTGTGTCTTTCAGGTTTTTTTGGTTTGTTTGTTCTATTGAAGAAAATCTTTATCAGGCCTCAGCGAGGGCATCCTTGTTAATGATCAGGGTTTTTATTCCATCTTTTGCATTTCTCTTTCCGAAGGTTTGTTTTTTTTTTTAGTTTCTTGACCCGAAACTGCTCACATCACTTGGAATGACACCATCTTCTTCCTCTTTGAAAGGACTGTGCCCCACTAACTGGTGAATAGAAAACCTTTCAACTCTGTGCTTCAGTCCCAGTTAAACTCAGACTCTGTTCTGCTCAGCCTTCGTTAGTCATCTGGGTGTTAGTGTGTCTTGTTGTTTTTTGTTTGGGGTAAGATTTTGAATCCCTATGTTTAGCCTGTGTCCAGGGGGCCAAACCCTCAGCCTTCCTGTAAACCTGAAGGGTGGCCCTTCTCAGACGATTTATCTCCCAGCAATGACCTTACACTCTCATACTGTGAATTTGGGAGGAGGTTAACTTGACCTTCTCGTGGGCAGTTTTCCCAGTCACCCTGTGAGTAGACACCTGCCAATACTGTTTGAAACATTTTTGTCTTCAGTGACACCTCTCTTTTTCTTTTTGCCCCCTTGTCCTAGACTTCCCTCCCACTGGGTCCAGGCTCAAAACCAAGACCTCTGTGCCTGGTGCTGCCTGATGAGTGAGCAGTGATTCCACGTAGCAAACCCTTGTGTGATTCACAACTCAGTGTCCTTCCTAACATTGTGGGAAGCAGGGTTGTCTAATATGCACCGTTCTTATTTTGGCCATATTTTTACATCAGTGTCACTCACCTTTGACAAAGTGACTTTGTACTCATTTAGGGCTCTGTCTAAAATGCTTCCATTTTGCCTTTTTCTACAGTTAGGCTAATTTTGAAATGTATGAAATTCTATGCAACAATTTATGTTGAGTTACCAATGGAAGCCAAAAGTTTTCTTCCCAAACTGCCAAGAATTATACAGGCCATAAATGAGATGGGAATAAACCTTTTAATTTAAGGTTGGGAATGGGGTGGGGTGGGACAAGGAACAAGACTTGCCTAGACTCTTGTCTTATCTTGGGGACATTTTAAATTTTATTGTTTAATGCTTAAACTTCAAAATTCTGTGTATTCAAATTTGATTGTGGTGAAATCTATTTCAAAAGGAAAAAATAATAATCCAACTTTGTGGATATTCAACGGAAGGTTTGCTGTTTTGACCTAATTGTTTCCAGTGGAGCAGTTTATGAAATATGTTCTATAAGATGTACATTTTTTCATTGTAACATAGAAATTGTAAATAATTGATTAAAGTGCTGCATTTTGATGAATTTTTTCTAGCCATTTTTAAAGAGAAAACTAGGAATTGAGTATTTTGTGTACGGTATGTTTCCACCCTCCCTTCCCTCCTTCTTCCCCCCTCCCTATTTAATTTTCATTTGTCATGAGGTTTTTGGATTTGCCAATGATCTGCTGGAGATCATGCCCCACGTCATAGAGAATAAAGCTGATGATTGTACCAGTCTTAAATTATTCATGATTCAATAAAATTGATGCTTATTTATTCAGATTAGTGGTTTGGCTCATCTGTGTTACAGCAAGATCTCCTTGGAGTTCAACTTCATGCCAAGAGCAAGTCGATCTTCTCTGGAGGCAGCAAACACAGGGAAAATCCAAAACATTGATTTGCAAGCCCATCTTTGCCAGGATGTAATCATCATACCATCTCTTTTCAATGAAGTTATCACAGCTCACTTGGCACTTGTTAGAAATGCAGAGTTCAAATCCTGTCAGTCCTTATGAATAAGGAGGATCTTGTAGAAATATGGGTGCTGATTCAGAAGGTCCAACGGCACCCTCAAGATTCTCAATTTCTTTTCTTTATTTTTTTTCATTCAAAAATTTTTTAATTATGCATGTTTATGCAGCATGCTACTTTGCTACATGTATACAAATGTGTATGATCAAATCAGGATGATGAGCATTTGTCTCTTTAAACCTTGACCTTTCTTTTTGCACTGGGAAACTTCAAACTATTCCAGTTCTTTTTAAAACACACATTAAATTGTAAGCTAGTCACTCTGCTGTGTTGTAGAACACTAGAACTTACTATACCTAAATGTGTTGGTAATTGTTAATCTCACCTTCCTCTACCCCTCCTCCCTGTTGCTCGTCCCAGCCCCCTAGTAATTACTAGTATGTGCTCTTCAACTCTGAGATCAACTTTTTATCTTCTACATATAAGTGAAAACATGCAGTATCTGTTTTCCTGGGCCTGGCTTGACTCTCTGAACATAATTTCCTCCAGTCCCACCTGTCTTGCTGCAAATGCCAGACTCTCCTTCTTTATGGCCCAAGAGCACTCCATCACGTGTTCCTTATCCATTCATTGTCAAGAGACTCTATATCCTAGCTATTATGAATAGTGCTGTGGTAATTATGGGCATACAAGTATCTCTTTGGAATACTGATTTCATTTCCTTTGGATGTACATTAGTGGAATTGCTGGATCACACGGTAGTCTATTTTTAATTGTTAAGGAACCTCCATACTGTTTTCCATAGTAGCTGCACTAATTTACATTTCAACCAACAGTAATAAGAATTCTCTTTCTTCACCTCCTTGCCAGCATTTGCTATTTTTTGTCCTTTGGATTATAGCCATTCTACCTGGGATGAGATGCTATATCAGATTTTCAACTTCTAACACTCCTGGGGGTGTCAGTGCTCTGCTCCCAGGACCATACTCAGAGGAGCAAGCAATGTCAGTATCCATCTGGCCCCCACTTGACCCCTTAGCATGAGAGAGGTTTTTATTTTTTATTTTTTTAAATGCACTGAGTACCTACTAATTGCCAAATGTTTTCCAAATACTCCAAAATAATTTGCAAAATGACCTTGAGGAGGTTTTCTTACTCTCATTTTACAAATGATAAAAACAGACTCGGGACTTGACAAGGAACCTGTAGGTAAAAGGTGAGAGGACTGGAATCAGCCCCACCTTCTGGTGTCAAGTCCTGCCTCAACAGGCTGTCTTGGGGGGCCTCTTCCACATTGCAGTGGTCATCCACAGCAGACACATTTGGTGGGAGATGACATCATACCTTAACATTCACTTTTAAGAGCAACAACAAAAACTTTAAAGGCCTGGTTGGAAGCAGAGTCGTGTGAACTCACAGTGAAATCAATCCTATACAGCTGGTTCAACTGCTGACGACATGAAATGTCTAACCCATTATGCTTGATGATGACCCAGCCAGTGGGGATATAAAGAATCCAGATGTTTAGCATGGGCAGTTTTTAACGTTTATCCAAAAAAAGAAAAAGAAAATACTGATTGGAAGATGGTACCTGGTTTGGCAATGAGAAGTCTTGAATTTCAAGATTTTCCATGTCAAATATGTGATAGCATTGCAACACAATAAATTCTGCTGTTTCCTAGGAAAGGGGACCATCATACAAGTGTATGGTGGGCCAGATGACTTTAAATAGAAGGGAAGGACGAGAACTTGCCAGACATTGTACTGTAAGTTTCATTTTATCACATGCAATCACAACACCTGTGAGGGGGATATTTTTATCTCCACGTTACAGTGGAGAAAACTGAGCCTGAGTAATGTTAAATAACTTGCTATATGGTAGAAATGGAATTCTCAGTTTATTTGATTCTAAAATCTATGACATTTCTGCTTACAGAACTACCATCCATCTAGGTTGGACTTTGAGAGGAGGATCACCCAGCCCTTCTGTACATGTCATCTATTGCTCCTGTAACAAAGAGCACTGAGAAAGGAAAAGATGGATATCAATTCCGGCCTTGGGTCCAGGTGTAGCAGTAGAAAATGCTGCGTTGCATGCAACTAAAACACTCTGGGGCCACTCCGGGGGAACTGGGCTGCGCAAAATAACCACACGAGAGACAGAAATTTACTTTTTTCTTTGGGGGTGCTGTGATGGCTCCTCTGGCCTTAACGGTCCGCAGGAAGAGAGAGAGGGAGCACATGCTGACCCCAAATTTACCAACTTAAGACTGGAAACATTTTCTCATAATTTCTGTGGATCAGGAATCCATCCATGTTGGCTGGGCACTTTGCCTCAGTTTTTTCCACAATCCTGCAATCAATGTATGTTAAATATTTACAAGGTATATTTAAAAGCCAGAACTACAGGGGTTGGGGCTAAGGCTCAGTGGTGGAGCACTTACCTTGCACTGTGAGGCACTGGGTTGGATCCTCGGCACCATATAAAAATAAATAAATAAAGATATTGAAAAATATATTTTTAAAAAGTTCTTTAAAATCCAAAACTATAAGAAGTATTATATTTAATAGTTAAATGGTGAGTGGTTTCTGTTTTAGATTAGAAGATAGAAAAAGATGCCACCTCACTGGACTCCGTGGCACATGCCTGTGATTCCAGGCACTCAGTAGGCTAAGGCAGGAGGATCACAAGTTCAAAGCCAGCCTCAGCAACTTCATGAGGCCCTAAGCAATTTAGTGAGACCCTGCATCAAAATTTAAAAAAAATCAAAAGATCTGGGGATGTAACTCAGTAGCAAAGCACCCCTGGGTTCAATCCTTAGTGCCCAAAAAAAAAGCTTCCTCTTACCACTTAACATAGTGGTAGAGATTCTAATCAATGCAGGGGAGAAAAATAATTTAGGAGGATTGAAAAAGAAGAAAGTAGACTGTCTTTATTCATGAGTAACACTCTAAAGATAATCCAATAGAATTCACAGGTAAATTATTAGAAATAATAAGCTTAACAGGTTTTCAAAATTAGTACACAAAAATCAGTTGAATATATGTGGTCAAAGTTTTAAAAATACCAGCTAAGAACAAAAATGTTAAATACTTAGGAAAAAATACAATATAGGAAATTTATAAAATTTATAAATTTATAAAATACAGCTGCAAGAAAATAATGAAAACAAAGGAAAATGATGTTTATAAATTTAACAACATGATGTAAAGTTGTCGGTTTCTCCAAGATAGACCATAGATTTGACACAATCCCACTCAAAAACCCAATTTAGTTGTTGTTGTTGTTTTTTAGTGGAATTGACAAGATTCCAAAATATATAGGGAAAAGCAGAAGGTGAGGCATAGCATGAAGAAGAACATGAAGAAAGGCCTTTCTCCAGATACCAAGACTTACGAAGGTCATTAATCAAGACAGCGTGGTATTGGTACAAGATTTGAGACAACAGGATAGACATCCCCCGGATAAATCCAACACCCACTTGCTTTACTACATGGGACTGTGAATAATGTCTCAGACCAAAGGACCTGTTTTATGGAGGAGATGTGACAGAGGACACAGGACAATAGGATCAACTGGTTCCTATGATAAAGCTGGAGATTGGATTGTCCTTTTAAAGACTCAACAAAACCACCAATTTGGGAAAGACCTGAGTTGGAGCACTTTACCCTCCTAGAAACAGTATAAGTTTTTAACCATCAGCCATTCTTCTTTGCCAGGAGCCCCAAAGCTAGAGTGCGTGCATCTGGGAACCCAGGAGTAGAAACAGACCCAGCAACCCACTGGGTGGTTTCTGCTTCTCACTCCTGCGACTTAAGGCTCAGCAAAATTAGAAGTGCTTGTCCCTGGAATGTGTGAGGCAGAGCAGGCAAGAGGACGACCCCTTCTACTCTTCTATCACTGAATTTAAAACTACAACTGCTGCCTGATCTCTTGGGACTGCTGACCCCCACAGCCAGCAGAATAAGAAAAGGGTCGTTATGCTGTCAGGGGTGATGCTCCTGGTTATTCTGAGACACCAAGTCTGCTGCTACCTAATGGAAAGAGGGATGGGGGGGACCTGGAAGAACTTGGATGACTCTCCAGGGTACCTCTTGGTATTTATTTCCCTGCTTGCTGATACCTATGAGCAGGCTGAAACAGCCCAATGAGAGAAAGGTAAATCTGCCCACTTCTGGCATGAAGATCCAGGTCATCCCTGAGGCAAGCAATGGACGTGCTGGATGAGGAGGAGCATGATATAGAATGGAGCACTGAGAAAGGAAATTATGGATATCAATTCCGGCCTTGGGTCCAGGTGTAGCAGTAGAAATTGCCATGTTGCATGCAACTAAAACACTCTGGGGCCACTCCGGGGGCACTGGGCTGCACAAAATAACCACACGAGAGACAGAAATACTTTTTTTGGGGGGGGGGTCGCTGTGACGGCTCCTCTGACCTTAATGGTCCGAAGAAAGAGAGAGAGGGAGCACGTGCTGACCCCTTTTATTGAGGAGAAGCCATTCAAATGAGACAAGGGGTCAGGTTTCAGGGGGCTGAGACTAGCTTCATGATGTCTGCTGTCAGCAGGTTGACTGACATCTGGGTAGGCCACAACCAAGGGCAGTGTGAGAGAAGGGGACACACAAAGGGCATTTCCATGGAACATTCTATCCCAAACAGGGCAAGGGGTAATATCACAAAGGAACAGGTGAGCGTAGCTCAACCTCTGGGGATATAAGAAGGCACACCCATGCATGAAGACACATTTGCATTTTCTCAACCCTAAAGATCAGGGCTAATATCTTTGGTTACGTGACCGACAGTGC